CGCCTCAGAATGGGACGAGGAAGACTTCAGTGTATGTTAAAGACATCGAGTCACCAGCTGTGGCGGCCACCGCGAAGCCACTACAAATTGTTACTGGTCGCGGGGAAACAGAGGTGGACCCAAGTTCTTTACACACCTGGACTGAACACTCGCCAGGGATACATTTTTTTGTTCCATCCGTTGAACAAATAAATGGGGAGAAGTCGCTCGAGAAAGTCGAGGAGCCTGGTTCAAGCGACCGGACAACGAGGCCGGTGTGGGACGAACATTCAGAGTTACCAATTGACGAGACAAAGAACAAGTTCCCCTTTAGCCCTGGTCACCCGCTACAAGCGGAATTCAGCAAGACGACAGTTAGGCCACACCCCTCAATAACAGCTAGACCACGCCCACCTTCATTAACAACTAGACCACGCCCACCATCATTAACAACTAGACCACGCCCATCCTCATTAACAGCTAGACCACGCCCACCTTCATTAACAGCTAGACCACGCCCACCATCATACACAGCTAGACCACGCCCATCCTCATTAACAGCTAGACCACGCCCACCATCATTAACAGCTAGACCACGCCCCTCGACTCTAGCCCCTATAGGCTCGCCCGCAAGCCTCGGACAGATATCACAGTTACTTGATCAATTAACAGACCAGAACAACACTCCAACTGAGAACCTCAAACGTGAACACATAAACAGTGGACATCTAGACATGACTGGCACACGATCTGAACAGCCAGAGTCAGTTTGGCCCGAACATTCGGTCCTCATTGAAGAAGCAAGTGAGTCACAGCGACAGAAGCCTTTGTTACTAGACCAAACAGACAGGCTTAAACAGACGACTGTGTGGCCAGACCGAACAACAGAAATGACAGAACGACTTACTATGTGGACAGTGACTGAACGGAATAAATGGCATGAACAGCCAGTTTTGAACACCAAACAATCAAGTACGGGATCTCGGGGGCAGATGCTATCACAAGAACCCACGACAAATTGGCTTGGGCAATCAGGTTCAAAACCTGAACAACCAAGCTCAAAGCCTAAAGAAACAAGATCCAAAGCTGAACAACCCAGCTCAAGCCCTGAGGAAATAAGTTTCATTCAGGAAAAAACAACTAAGTGGCCTGGACAATCCTTAACAGATCCTGAGCAATTAACATTTACTCCTGTACAACACACGCTCTGGTTCCACCCACCGTCGTCCCATGAACAACACCCTGAAAGGCCGTCTGAACAAACACTCCCGCCTCGTGAACAAATAAGAATTCGACCTCCACAACTACTGAGGCCTCATGAACAACCACTAAGGCCTCATGAACATTCAATAAGGCCTCATGAACAACTAACTGCGCTATCTGAATACGCAGGTATCTTAAGGGCAACAGCTCATCCGTTGCAGCCAAATGCAAATGCGGGACAAACATCTCCTGGGCATGAACAACATACTCTGCCCGGTGAACAACCTAGTGCAGCATCGGAACAAGGTAGTACAGCACCTGAACAGCCTAGTACAGCACCTGAACAGCCTAGTACAGCACCTGAACAGCCTAGTACAGCACCTGAACAGCCTAGTACAGCACCTGAACAGCCTAGTACAGCACCTGAACAGCCTAGTACAGCACCTGAACAGCCTAGTACAGCACCTGAACAGCCTAGTACAGCACCTGAACAACCAACTATGTTTGAACGGCCTTCTAAAATAAACCAGAGAAATAATTATTGGGGTCATCAAACAGCCACGAGACTAGGACAAGTATTTATGAAGCCTGAACAACCCCATCCGCATCCACAGCTGACTTCTAGGCCTGAACAGCCAAGTATACACTTGGAACAATCAAGTAACATATTTGAACACTTTACTAGGAAACCGGAACACTTAAGTACCTCGTATGAACAATTAAACATAAAACATGAACCATTATCTACGAGGCCTGAACAACTGTCTACGAAATCCGAGTTGCATTATACTGTTGTTCATGTGTCAACCGAGAGTTCTAATAAACAAGAGTCAAACATATACGTAGAACACCCTTCTGTTATTGAAGAACCCCCCATGAGCAGTGAACAGTGGAACAACAAACCTGTACAGCCATTCTCAGGGTCAAAGTTCCAGTACAGCAGACCTGAACAAACTAATGTACCTCACAATCTTTTTCATACCCAATACCCTTTTTTCATACCTGGACACGATGGTACAAGGAATGAACAGACAGAAACAAGCCACAGACAAGCAAATACAAGTGGAGAACAACACGAAACGTTCCCACTAAAACTAAGATCGGGGCTTGAACAATCAGTAACGAAGCCTATACAATCAGCAATATCTGAACAACACAGCACTAGGCTTGGGCAGATAAATGGAAGCCATGAACTATACAGCACTAGGCATGGACACATAGACGAACGCACTGAAGAACACAGCACTAGATTTGGGCAGATAAATAAACCCTCTGAGAACCATCACTTCGACCCTGAACAATGGAACACGGAAGCTGAAGCCTCGGAAACTTCAACTAAGATACACGACTTCACAGCTGAGATTTCCAGCCAGTCCTTGCCTGCTCTTCGCCAACTCATAAAACAACACATACAAACACTCCATAGGTTTATCCAGACAGCCCCAGTGACGGAGTATACACCTGTGGTTCATACACCTGTGATAAATGCACCTGTAGTTTACACACCTTCGCTCTATAAACCAGCAGGTGTACATGGACTTGCGGAGACGCATCTTCCTTCGGTGGGTTTAGAGAGTCAAGCTGTCTATCACGGATATACATCCGAAACTCCTCATACACCCGGGGTGTACGGTCAAGTTGAGCAGCCTCCTCTGTATATTAATACCCCGTTGTTGCAAGATCAGGCTTACAGCGCTGTGTATACACATGCTACTAACTTTACACCTGTGAGGTATGGCCAAGTCACTACTCCCCTGAATACATCGACGGTTGTTACTCGGCCACTTGTGGTGTATAGTGATGGTGACGTATCTGATGGAGCTGAACTATCCCCATTAGCACCAGGAGACACTGAGACCACTAACCTAAGTGTGGAAGACTTCGTCGACACCGTCCACTCTTTCTTGAGAGCATCTGTTGGTCGGGGGATCAACAGAAGCCAAACAGACGCTACTAGCTTAGTTTCAAGTGGCACTCGAGGACATTTGCTGCCACTCAACGGGTCGATCATAGAGCCTCACGAGGAAGACCGAGAGGATGCAGCAGTTACGCATCAGGAGCAGCGCAACAGTAATGAGACGGGTCCTCTGCCAGATATACAGGACACTGAAGGTACTCCTGAGGCGACCGAGTATCCCCGCGTCGTGTACTTGACGCCGCAAGGACAAGAACCTCAACAACACGAGAGAGAGACAACCACACACTCTTTGCCATTCTTCGATTTAACCACACTAGAATGTGACAAGGAAGGATCTTTCTCATCCATCTTGGATTTCTATGCCACTATGTATCCTGGGTTAGTTAATCCCTGTAAGGATCGCTCTACGGCTGTTCCCAGGCGTGGGGAGGAGCTACTGACCCAGACAATAACACCAACACAGCGGCCAGTAACTCTCTCAGAGACTCACGAGCCTGTCACCATCACACCGGTCCTCCCAGGGAGCGCCTCAAGTGACCCTTTGGCTGACCTCTCTCCAGTCACTCAGAAGGTCCGCTATTCATCTCAAAGTTTAATATTAGACGGTGTTCACTCGCCGACACAAGTTACACTCATATCACAAACCACAGAATCAGAATCATTCTCAAAGTCCCCATCTATTATGCACGCAAAGGACACGTTCTTCACTACAACACCACCAGAAAGTGAAACTTTACAAGTCCACAATAAGGATATTGTTCACATACATAGTCCAACTACCATTGACGCACAAGTTCCTCAGGCTCCAAAGGTGAGTACTGACTCTGTTTACTTGACCGAAGCTTCTTTTTCAAAAGAGAGCAACGCGGATCAATTTGCGGATACATCAACAACGCTAGAGCTTCAGACATACTCCGAACGTCCATCAAATGTGACAGACTTTTTGGGTGATGGGCTTGAGCCCTTCGCAGCCCTCGTGTCCGCCAACGGGAGCTCCGTCGTCGTGAGCGCCATGGACCTGGGCTCACAACAGAACGACAGCCCCCTGACACATTTGACTACCGAATCAACACTGTGGATGAGAGTGCCAACTATACCAAGCTCGGAGAGTACGTCCTTGTCCTTTGAGAAGAAGGATGGTACCATCGAAGTCAGTGATGAAGGACCCACAAGACCATGGATAAATAAACCAGCGGCGTCCGACTCGAAGATATCCTCCCTGCTGGACACCTGGTACCGTAGGTGGGAGTCCTGGAGTAAGCCTCGCTTAAATCTCACTAGAGGAGCAACGACTCAAGCCTCTCCTGCAGCTGCTCAACTTTCTCCATCAGCGTCAGCGCTGCCGCAGTCTGTCAACTCCTGGCTTCCTCCTCAGGGAGACTCTACTACCCCTATGCCACCAGACCCATCTGGATCTCGAGGCCTCTCTTCTACAACAACGATTCTAACACCAGAAGTCAGCACGATGTCACTAGGCTCTTCAGCATCCACAACAACGTCACAGCAGAACTTTCCTGAGCCAGACTCGGAAACTTCATTACCAGCAACACCTCAAACGGCAACACAATCAGTACAAACCACAACACCAAGAGAAGAAACTATATCGTCCCCATCATCGGCTACATCAATGACAGCAATAATACCTGAAACAATGGAAGGTACAGCACCAGCAACACAGCCTACAACACCAGCAACACAGCCTACAGTGCCAGCAACACAGACTACAGCACCAGCAACACAGCCTACAGCACCAGCAACACAGCCTACAGCACCAGCAACACAGCCTACAACACCAGCAACACAGCCTACAGCACCAGCAACACAGCCTACAGCACCAGCAACACAGCCTACAGCACCAGCAACACAGACTACAGCACCAGCAACACAGCCTACAGCACCAGCAACACATCCTACAGCACCAGCAACACAGCCTACAGCACCAGCAACACAGCCTACAGCACCAGCAACACAGACTACAGCACCAGCAACACAGCCTACAGCACAAGCAACACAGCCTTCAACATTACCTGCAGCACCAATATCAACTACTTCTAAGCCATCAAGTTTAAGTCAGTTTCTGGGATCCATCTGGAATATGGTTGGGTTCATAAAGACAGACACCACAACACCTAATGCTACACCCGATCACTTCACCACTACACCCATCGCAGCTGCTGCCACACCCATCCCAGCTGCTGCCACCCAAGCTACCTCAGCACCCTCTAATAAACCCACAACCACTTCTGCCCCCTCCAAATTAACCACCATTTTATTTACAACCACTTCATCTACAACAACGAAACCAACCACTACAACAACCACGACCGCCACCACAACTACCAGCCAGCCACCTATTACCACCCCCACCACAGCCACCCCCTCCACTGTCACCACTCTTGCTGCCGGCACCCCTACCAACGCCGCCGCCACCAGCAACAACACCTCGGCCACTAACACAACTGCCGCCGCCACCAGCAACAACACCACGATTACCACCACCACCACCACCACCACTACTGCCTTCACTAACGCCACCACAGGCACCGGAGGCACCGCACATCACAGCGGCCTCCACAGCCTCTGGGAGTATGCCTTGAGCAATGGAGACGTGCGCACCAAAGGTGAGGAAAGCAATCGTGGTGAGGTAGGATCCACTTCCAGCATCCCTTTATACACGGTTCACAACCTAACGACGGCTGCACCGGCGTCAGCGGCAATAGGCGAGATTTCTTATACAACAAACGACAGCAGCAGTGACAATAGGCAAGATTCGACGGAGCCCAAGGTGACGAAAGCGCCGACGAGACTGTCACATACGACGCGAATTCCATCGACGAAGGAGTCACTGGAGAACTTGCTTCGACTGATCGGCAACTTGCGAGGAGGAATGAAAGATGAGCAGCCGCAAGTGAACCACCATAACAGAGACAGTTTTAAGGTGGCCAGGGACAGCTATTCCAGTCGCCCTTCCGTTCCACAATCCCTATCCACTAGTCTGGCGGGAATGTTCCCTCTCCTACCTACGCTTTTCAACAAAGAATCACAAGAAGGCCAAACAAACTCCATGGAGGAATATGAGGACAGACTTAAGCCGCCAACACACATATCTCAAGACACAAACCGCCCCCCACCCCACATCCCTCCCTCTAATATTCGGCCGCTGTCCTCAGATCGTCACCACGCCCTGTCTCATCGTCCCACCATCATTATCAAGAAAGAGGGCGCTAGGGTGCATATTCCCGTCATGCCCTCGGCAGATTTTTCCTCCTTCAGGCCCCACGAGGCTAAAGACTCAGAACTCCGCCAGGAATGGCTACTCAGGAATGGACTGTCGCCCTCGAGCAAAACTTCGCGTCAGGGTTTAGCTCCTGTCGCATCGCTAGGACAGAAAAAGGACCCACCACAGCACGAGACTTCTCAGCCTTCTTCCCTACCACCTCCCATACGTTCTTCTCCTCCACCACCTCCCACACGTCGCCCTTCTCCACATCCTCTTCCACCTACACGTCGTCCTTCACCCCCACCACCTCCCACACGTCGTCCTTCTCCCCCACCACCTCCCACACGTCGCCCTTCTCCCCCACCACCACCACTCAGCTCCCCCAGTCCTACAAGACCTCACCGTCCCGTAAGGCTACCTCCACCACCACTTCCTCCTCGCCTCTCGAATCTACCCCCTCCACCGCGTCCTCCTCGCCCCTCAAATCTACCCCCTCCACTGCGTCCTTCTCGCCCCTCAAATCTACCCCCACCACCACGTCCTCCTCGTCTCTCGAATCTACCCCTTCCACCACGTCCTCCTCGTCTCTCGAATCTACCCCCTCCACCTCGTCCTCCTCGCCCCTCAAATCTACCCCCTCCACCACGTCCTCCTCATCTCTTAAATCTTCCCTCTACCCCACGTCCCCATCCTCCTCTGCCTGTTCTCACACCCCTCCTTCCCCCTTCTATTTCACGTCCTCTCCGTCCCAAGCACTCACGCCCTAGCCCCACACCAGCACAAAATGCTGTGGGAGGGAAGAGCTGCGGCGTCAGCCTCCTCAGTCGTTTGGAACATCTGCTGGGGCGGGAACCCGTGATGGACCAGTTCGGTGTGCGCATCTACAGCTCTGTCATCGACAGGTGAGGTGACATTACAGCATTGACCTCCATAGACTCATAATACAGACAACACCGGACTCATAATTCAGTTATGTCTCCGTGGTGTAGTGGTAAGACACTCGCCTGGCGTTCCGCGAGCGCTATGTCATGGGTTCGTATCCTGGCCGGGGAGGATTTACTGGGCGCAATTCCTTAACTGTAGCCTCTGTTTAACGCAACAGTAAAATGTGTACTTGGTTGTAACAACGATTCTTCGCGGCGGGGATCGTATTCCAGGGACCTGCCCGAAACGCTACGCGTACTAGTGGCTGTACAAGAATGTAACAACTCTTGTATATATCTCAAAAAAAAAAAAAAGTTCAGGATTCAGAAGAGAGGTGCTTCTGAATTAAAAGCTCGGACCCTGCTCAAGATGACTTCAGACAATTTAAGATCAAGACCAGATAGTGGGGATTAACAGAGCACACGACATCAGACGACCTCAGAATCTACCTCAAATTCAGATCGTTCAGAAAGATCCGTTCGTAACTCATACATCTAAAAGAGCTGGAAAAGATCATCAGGGCAAAAAAAAGGGGGAACCTTTGACAAGCCGCCGGCTTCCTGCCCTTGTCGAGGCCACTAGTATTAGTGGCCCTCAGGTAAATCTTAATAACACAGATTATAAAGAAATTTCTCCTTTCGTAAATCAACTGAGAGGAAGATTTAATGAGACTGACTAAGATTTAATGACTAAATTGACTAAGACTTAAAACGGACATTGAAAAAAATACCTGGTACTTAAAGAAAGTGCATGCGTGTGTGTGCGTACGCGCGTGCATGATGTGTGTTAGGTAGAATGCCTAGATATTTGGTATTAATAAATTTCAGGTCACAGACGACCTGACTGCAGCAACGCGTGCAGACATAACAGTTCTCTATACCTACACAAAGAAAAAATGGCCATGTCAAATATGAAGAACGCACACACATGCTGGTTTAGAATATTACAGTTAATCACTCTCGTGGGCGAGCACTTCCACGAGAAATACACATAGCTGTCGATACATTACATTAATGACAATTCCCACCTGGTGACAGATTCACAGCTCATGACCAGAAACAGCCAGTTCCCCATGACATGACAGGCCTGCTCTTGCGTGACACACCTAGTGCCAGGCACCGTTAGTATGACCTCCCCTTCTCTTTTTCTCCCGCTCTCTTGTAAATTCTTCTTGCATATTTTTATCTGTAAGTTATATACACCAATCAAATATGAATCTTAGCTCAGAACATAAATTTTATCACAGTTTATTTCAATGTTTATTTGGTTTAGTTGCACTGTGTGAATAGGTGCCTTGCAATCTGCATGCCTCGTCAACAAAATGATCCTCCCACAATTCTGCATGTACTCTTCCGGTCCCGCATCCACATCTCCCTCCCTGAAACAGTACACAGGTTACTATAATTTCCGTCACCTTCTCTCCAGTATACTGACGGTGGAGTGCCAACACCCTGAGTGGAGGAGTCCCCCCACTGCCGCGCCCCAAGCCCTGGTCTCCTCCCAGTCCTCCACGCCCGCGCCCTCCCAGACCATGGGCATGGAAGGATGGCTCACCCTGGATGATCTAAGAGCTCAGGTAAGAGGTCGGAGCTCACACTGACCGAGTGTCTTCATGTCAAATATTTTTATCATGTTTTAACAGTCTCCTTATTCGTCGTTGTAAATGTCAGTACACAAATACACGAAACTTTTGGGTCAACGGAGACATATGTGCAATGACTGGGAGGAGGGAAAACTGGAAATTGAAGACAAGGAAGGAGGATGAAAGTATAGGTTAAGTATTGGTGGTGGTTTATTTGATTAATGCAATGTCCCATTGGTAAAATAGGCTGTTGGTACTTATGATAGTTGGTGTTATGTGAATGCAACCCGTCCTCAGGGTATGATTGTTCATGCTGCCACCGACCCAAAAGACGATGTCATTAATTTTACAACCCGTCCTCATTCGATGTTTATCCTCGTGATAATCACTTAAAAAATATGTAATTAATGTTATTATCTTCTCCGTAGCCATAGATAGATTAGGTTTAGTTAGAACAGCGTATTATTCCCTAACATAAAACAAAATATTTTACAGAAAACCTTTGCCCTAGGCTCTTATCAAAGAAAACGAGTATACCATACACTATTAATATTTTAAACCCTGGATTTACACTACAGTACAAATACAAATACAAATATTTATTCAGGTAAAGTACATACATACAAGGTGAGATACAAAAGTTGATGGATTTATAGATGTTATTTTCTTTTTTTTTAATCAACACTGTTTGTCAACCTATTGTATTTGTGCTGCTTTTTCAGTCATGTTCCCCCTTTTTTTTTATCTTTATTTGTATTTGTTCTCAACACTTTTTATTCTTTATGCTCAATTAGTATTAAGTTCTAGATATTAATGTTTTTCTTGCCCGAAACGCATTGCGTAATAGTGGCTTTAGGCATTGTATGTACTAGCTCTATCTATATATCAATCCATTAATGTAACATCACTTGTATGTATATACCTTACCTGAATAAACATCTGAATCTGAATCTGAATCAGATAGAGCTAGTACATACAATGCCTAAAGCCACTATTACGCAAAGCGTTTCGGGCAGGAAAAACACTAAGACTAAAACTTAATACTAATTGAGATTAAAGTATATATTGTGTTGAGAAAAAAATAAGAAAAAAAATGAAAAAAAGGGGAGGGGGAAACATAGCAGAATAAAAAGCAAAAATACAATTTGGTCAACAAACAGCATTGTTTAAAATAGTAGACATGGGTTGACATTTTGGGGGTGAGGTAGGTTACATTGAGTTACGTAGTACTTAGTTTTTATCTTAAACTGGTTGGGAGAGGTACAGCCTTTAACATAATTGGCAAGGTCATTCCACATTCGAGGTTCCTTGATTTGTAAAGCATTTCTAGTTTGACTAAGTCGTACTCTTGGAATGTCAAATAGGTATATTAAGAATATTCTTCTTCTTAAATTACATCATTATGGAATCAGAGGTCACTTCCTGCAATACCTTAGTGACAGGCTCCAGTATGTTTCTGTGAATGATTCCATTTCTCCCACCCTACCCATCAACATTGGTGTTCCACAGGGCAGCATACTTGGCACTCTCCTCTTTCTCATCTACATTAATGACCTTCCACATGCCTCTCAACACCTCAAACCAATTTTATTTGCTGATGACAACCTTCATTTTCTCCAATCCTGACCCTCTTCAGCCGTCGCTTAGACGAGCATAGGCTGCCGAAAGGTTGTTATGAGGACGGGCTCTTAATTCATATCGCTCTATCTATTTGTAACTTGCTTAACTAAACGAATTTTGAGATTCTGTTCCAAACCCATATGTGCCCCTGTAACCCTTTTTCCTTCCCCCTCTCAGGATAGGGGTAGGGTACAAAACAATGCAATTAAACTGAACACTATCTGTTTTTTGTACCTTTTTCATGTGCAAGTTTTCCAATGATGCGTCCGAGCACCAGCTCGACCACCCAACACCAGTTAACACGTCCTGCATCCTTACAGAGACTGGAGGCTCTCCAGCAGCAGCAGGAGCTCGGAGACGGTCCCAGAAATTTCCCTGACCATTTAACCAGCGACGACTTACTGAGGAATCATCGCCCAGCAGACACTCTGCCACTCTCATCCCCCGTGCCAACCCTCGTCGCCGTTCCCCTCCTCGCTATTTCTCAACCTTCTGCATATATTACTCAGGATTCTGTCACCTCAACTGAGCAGTCTACTACTTCGCTTAGTTCGTCCCCATTCCCTCGTGTCTCCTTTCTTTCGTCTTCAAATACCTCTTCAACTTCTACTGTAACTTATACTAATTTTTCTATTTCCTCCTCGTCCACTCCGTCGTTACCTTACTCGTCCTCACCCTCATCTGTTTCCTCTGTGTTTTCCAAATCCTCCCCCTCTCTTACCACGTTCTCGTCTGTTCTCCCTTCCTCTTCCTTGCCTACTCACCCTCTCAACACTTCCCAATCTCACTTGTCCTTCTCAGAATCCGCGCCACCGCCTTTTCTTGTCTCTCCAACAATCACCCCGCTCAATAAGTCGACAGCGGGAGTGAGTGGTGTCCAATCTAGTAAGGAAGGTCAGGGAGAACGGAAGAAACAGGAAGCTGGCGAGGGTACTAGAGCCAGAAGAGAAACTATAGAGGGAAGCAAGGTGAGGGAGAAATCTATAAAGGTACAGGAAGAAAACATAGAGGACGAAAACGCGAGAAAAAAGGTAGTAGAGTTTGCAGAGTGGCCGCTGGGTGATGTGGCGCCTGGGTCGCTCCTGCTCTACAACGTGACACCCGTTCCAGGTACTGAACCATTTACTCTACCGTTCTTGATGTCAATTTCACTTTGCCTCAGATCTACAAGATCTTGTTGAAGTTCTCTGTGCCCTTTCCACTACCGCCCACAAGACGGGTATGGGGTGCATAATAAATGAACTAAACTAAACTACCGTTCTTGTGCTGTTCCTTGGTGGAAATGTTTATTAGTTTAATTGTGTACGCACAATTATATATGTATGTATTCACCTAGTTGTGCTTACGGGGGGTTGAGCTTTGCTTTTTCGGCCCGCCTCTCAACTGTCAATCAACTATTACGAACTACTAACTACTCCCCCCCCCCATATACACACACACCCAGGACGCAGCTCCGTAACAGTTGTCTAACTCCCAGGTACCTATTTACTGCTAGGTAACAGGGGCATTATGGTGAAAGAAACTCTGCCCATTGTTTCTCGCCGGCGCCTGGAATCGAACCCTGGGAGTTAGACAGCTGTTACGGGCTGCTTCCTGGGGGGTGTGGGTTTTGTGGAAAAAAAAAATAGTAGTTAGTAACAGTTGAGAGGCGGGGCCGAAAGAGCAGAGCTCAACCCCCGCAAGCCCAACTACGTGAATACACTCTTTCTGAGGTGTTCACCATCCTATTACACCCTATATGATAGGAGTATGGACGATGCAGACTACCATATACTAATATACAGGTTCCTGAGCCTACTGGGCTCTATCATATCTACACTTGAAACTGTGTACGGAGTCAGCCTCCACCACATCACTGCCTAATGCATTCCATTTGTCTATTCCCTCCTCCATGCCCTTACTGGGTGTATACTCACCCAATTGGCAAAGCTTCAGTTTCTGAGCCCCACCTTTTAATAGAGGTTCGTCTAATACAATGGCTCCCGTCCTCATTGCTTAAATCACATGTTCTGTTGACACTATCTAAGTTCACCCAAACCTACCTATAGACTCGTCCACTTGCTCACACTAGAAATGCGTCTATACACTCCTACTTCTTTGCCAGAACAGGAAATAGAATGAATTAGGAGAAACAATAACGTCAGCATTTATCTGTGGATAAATGTCTCATTTGTCAAATGTGACATGGAAGGAAGGGCTCGGGAATTATTGTATTGCAAGACCAACAATTAAAAAGGCAGAGTCCAATAGCTGAAGCTTGATTCTACAAATTTTGTTTGGTGACTTACCTTGTTAATGTACATAATGACCACATAATGACCTGCACATAATGGCCACCTTAACATTGACCAGCTCTGCTTGTGCTGCTGGTGTTGCCCGTTCATTATGCTGCGGGAATATTGATCTCGCTATCAAATTCAACTTATTAATCCAATGGTCGTAATATATGCAGGTATAATAAGCACAAAGTTCTGATCGCAGGTGCCTGATGTAGCGGCGTAGGCGGTGCTGGTGGGCGTGATGGGACCAGGGGTGTGAGCGGGAGGTCCTCCAAGGCTGCCTTCCCCTCTGCCTGTGTTGCCTCGACCTCTTCCTCCAGCAACATCAGTCTGGAGAGAACACCGTCAACCTCCGTCGCTCAGTTGTCACCGCTCTTAGGTAAATTAATCTGTTAAGTTGGTCTCCACCTAGATGTTTTCGTTGTGGCTTGACATTTTCATGGGATGCTTTTAATATTTGTGTTAGCTGTTGAATGTTGGTGCTGTTGTACAACATAACATAGGATCCAATTGGCTGTGAAAAATGCAATTGGTGTAGCAATTCAGAAAACCTCAATAGTATTTGCTGGCTTGTATTAAGTTTATGTCTGTTATAGGTCCGGTATGTCGGGTTGAGCAGGAGTTCAAGAACCTAACCTCCTCCCACGGTGGCAATCCAGTCAAGGAGAGGCCACCAGCCTTTGGTGGCCTCTTCTGCCACCACGCCCACGTCGCCTGCCGTGCCCACATCTGCCCACCCACAATGGCGTGGACCACACTCCTCGAGACCTTCACCCGAGAGCCTGCTCGACAGAACACTAGACGAAGAGCATCAGGTTGCCTCTGGGCAACTGAAGCACGAGGGAGGACTCAACGGCACTACCAAAATTCACTTGAAAATCAGATGATTTATAATTATAATTCATACAAGAAACATGTGGTGTGTATATATATTTGTGGACCGTCTAACCAAACTCTACTGGTATTGTTCAATGTTGTACCTACTATGTATATCAATATGTCATCATTAAATGTTCATTATCTTATATCACATTAAATTCATTAACATCACTAGCACATGAAAATTAACTCCCTTGATTATATAAAATAACAAAAGTCCCAGTTAAATTATTGTTTCTTTAGAAAGGCAGCAGATATATGGGAAAATAATGAAGCCAACATCATCAAATTTTCTTTATCTTGGCCTCATGCACCAAAGCCCCCCCCCCCCTGCTTCAGGTAGTGTACCGGTGTTTCTTGTATATCTTTACATCTGCTTCCTGTACAACCTCTGCATCAACTATGTCTTGAAATTTAACATCTTACAAAATCACTGCTTCATATTTTATAGGTTTTAGAGATAGCTTGTCTGGCCAAATTTCTTTCCACGGCTTTCCACTATAAAAGTTCATAGGGAATCTTTAATACAGTAGAATAAATTTTCAGTTTTATTGTAAATAGGATCCTATTGTACAAATAAGTTTACAGTCCTCGGTGAAGAAGTACAGATACAAAAGTAAAAATACTGTGGATGCCGCAGCGACCATTTCTGTGCACACGTATAACTGTGAAATACAGACCCAGGGGCACTTTACAAGAGTATTCTACTTACAAAAGTTCTTATCATTCTGACATTCATGAAATAGGAATCTGAATAAACTATAATCTGAAAAACTATATTTATGAAAGAGGGATCAATTGATATAATTTACCCTAATATCTTTTCTTAAACACCGGAATGATCATTCTAAATTATTTTAACTTTAGGATATTCAATAATACTACACATTCAGTATGTGATCCAACCAGGTAATAAAGATCATGGACAATATACCTCAAGGATAATGTAATGATAGTGTATTTATTATGTTTTCCAGCAAAATATCAATTTATTAATATTGAATTTTGTCTACAAATTTCCTATTCCAGAAATTTTCATTATCATCTTAATACAGAACATTGTAAAGTGTTCTTTTCATATTATGAAGTGTATTTTTTAAAAAGTTAATTTTTACTCCTTATAGTTTTTATAGAAAACAATATAAAAAAGATGAGTTGGCATACAATACTGCAATAACCACACATAAATGATACCAATCCACACTAGAGTCTGCAAACAACTCAACCACTGATCACCTGTGAAAATGTGCAAAACATGCTGCCACCTCTCTCCTTTTCCAAGACCTGTCAATGGAACCATTCCTATACAAGGCCTACTGCATACTTTAGACCATTGCATGGCTTGGCTATTTAAAGTTTTGTATCGTCGTTTACATAAAAAAAAATGGAGATTGGAGCAACGTAAGGATTAAATTCACTTCAATTCAAACCTTGCCAGAGACTGGGGGAGAGAGAGAGGTAAGGATGTCCTGCCTAATGTCCTTCCTCAGGTGTCAAGTGGTTAAGAAAGATGTGTTAAGGAGGTGGTGGTGCTGCTGCTAAACTGTAACATCAAAGGCAGAGAGAGATTATGGTTGGGGGTTTTAAGCACAATGCTAACACTAGTTCCTCAGTGAATATTGTAAGGCAGTTCACTTGACTCACCAGCAATAGTCTTCCTGCATGACAGTTACAGTGAAACAGTATGACTATAGTCTCATTAATTTATGTTTAATAGTAATCATGAAAATATAATACAAATATTTTAATAGTTACTTCAACGTTTAAAAAAAAAAATTATGTTTTGCCAGAAGAGACTTTAAAATGCCAATCAGCATTTTTTGCCTCAAAACTTGAGTGCCTATAAAATGTAAGGCACACTCCTACAGACCAATCCACTACTCCATAAAAGTAATTTTTAGCTGAAGATAAAAAACACAAACATTTTAATTCATTACAATTACTGTAGAAGAAATTGACTAATAATTGATCTCCCACTAAAAGCTTTCACTGTACCTCTCAAAGTCTCACACCTAGCAAGGCCCATAACTGGTTGCCAGACATGTACACAAACAAAACTATGCGCACCGTTCTTGCTAGCTGTACAAACCATAAAATATTTTTTAAATCTGCCATATCCTGAACACATTACTTGAATATAGCCACACAATGCTAAATATTATTATTTCAATGTTCTTAAAGTTAATAAATTAGGACAGTAAAAATAAGTTAGCTGAACCATTTACCAAATGATTACAAAATTAAGGATATGCATTTCAATAGAAAAAGCTATGAACAAGATCTCCTAAAGTCTAAAACAACTTGGATTCCAAGCAGACAGGAGCCACCGGGAATGAAATGTGAACAAAGCTTGAGAAACTCAAATATGAACTACAATCTTTACTCCAACCAGGGGTCATGATAACAAGGGTAAAATCTATTAGCAGCTACTGATAAAAATTCAGTCATATTACATTAGTATAACAGATGCACTGAGGTTAACATGTCAGAATTAAACACGTAAAATACACCTTCAATTAAAATTTAAATTTAAACTTACCAGCCTATGTGGCTCATATACTAAAAAACACATTTAATGCACAAATATTTTGAATGCTGCTTATGACAATGTGTGTCTCTGTGGGAGACATAGCTACAATAAAACACCAGTTTAACACATCATATTGCAACCTGGCACTTTGGAGTTAATGCTATTCAATTATATTGCAAGTCATTAGTATACAGAAAACTTGCATCTTTGGTTTCTACAAAGAAAGAGATTGGTTCTCAATTGCAAAATGCTATTACTAGTAGGTAAAGATTAGTAAATAAGGGTTGTTGTAAATATGTTTCAGATCCAAATAATAGACCTCTTAAAAAAGTCAGACAGACACTGGTTTCCTTTCACAGAGCCAAAGGAGAAACACACCTAATATATTTTCAACCTGGAAAACTGTGCCTTCCTGATGGGTCTCTCATGTGCAATGATGCATCCATCATGGAAAGAGCCAAGACAACTTGAGGTTATACGAGAACAAACAAAAGCATAAACTTAAGTCTTCAGCAAAGACTGTATGGATTACGTAGCAGTGTGTGTGTGTGTGTATATATGTTTAAGCTTTTTAAAAACCATGGACCTGTTAAGACACATCACTGTACAGTTCACAACCACTTTGGTATCAAACAGTTTTGCAGAGTTCCAGAACCCGCATTGTAAGAAATCCATTTCTTACAGTATCGCTAGGACTTTCAATTTACTACTTCTACACAAATCTTAATTCACTTTTGAATTAACCCCCTAGTTATGTTAAAAGATTAATTATTCATATTTTTCTTAGTTGTGAGTTCTGATATATGGACAGATAAGTTACAACCAGGTATTATAATACATATTCTTGTCTAAATAAACTGCTGGACAGGACAGCTCAACAGAACATGATGTACAACCAAGTGCAATCAAGCAGAACACTTCCAAACTTTACTACTCTGATAATGCATGCACACACGCACACACACAAAAAGACAAGACACAGACAGACAGATAGACGCCCCCAGACACACACGTTCAATTTTAAAACAACACACACAAATAGACAGACACAGACAGACAGACAGATGCCCCCAGACACACACGTTCAATTTTAAAACATTGTTAAACTTAAGACTCTTTCCACATTTCTGTTTAGAATGTGTATGAATTCTCGTGAAGAGCTGAAAATATGTAAATTATCATTTGGAAATGGATTGCTTTTTCAACACATGTATTTGTTTCGAGACCATTCACTTCTACATTCAACTCGTAAAGTATACTCTTAGTTTCAAAACACAATACAACACAGCTGCAATTCAAAGCAGCCATATATTTTTGGGACAACATGATATGGTGCGACTGTTCCCACATTCTAGACACACTGAAGACAAACGCGTGAAGGAAGATATGAAACAAAAATAGAGTAATGATGGTCACAAGATGGCCCGGCCAAATATTGGCCATTTCAAATTATTTTTTCATCCAAAAATCTGCATTAAATTAAAAAGTACTTAAAAATAATGGCTACATAATATACATATATCAAATTTCACTGATATGCAGATGACAATAAATGGAAAACTACACTGAACACACAAACAAATTCAATAAAAAAAATTACATGTAGCTTAATATTCACTTAAAAAAACAAGTGAAACATTATATAAAATCTGACAAGAATAGCAGATAAAAAGACCAACATGAAAATAACATTGGCATTTTATTAAAAATACTGCATGTACCCAAATGATAAAAAGACTATATAAACTTTTTTTTTTTTTTTGCAGATCAATTTCCCTAAGGTAAGCTTTTATGAGTAGACTTGCATTTAATGTAAAGTGAAGAAGACCACTTTGAGTAGACAAAGAAATAATCTCAGAATATTTATCAATTACAAGTCAGAAGCCATACTCTCTCCATAAATAAAATATATCTATTTTAACCTTTATATTTTACACCATAAATTTACCATTATGGACAATGCTGAATAACAATACAACACACCATACATGTACCATTAAATGTACACCATCAAATGTGCAACAATAGGATGTACATCGGACGTGTGCCAAAATATGATGTATACCAAATATGATGCACTTCAGTATGAATACTGTGCCATATGATACTATGTATGAGCCACAATACATTGCAGAGCATGTATAATCACTGAAGCATGCTGTCTAGTACTCTGCTGCACTTCAGATAACTCCCAATATCACTGTTTATCCACTTTCTGAAGATGACGATGCATTTTACAAAATGGTTTAGATCTACTCAATAATTATATAGTACAGTTGATAAAAGTTAATTGAACTATAAATTATCATACCTGAAAGAATTCAAATTATCTTCTGCTGAAACTTGCCTTGGCTTCGTCATACACTGGAGAGCCAACACGTGTCGGCCGTCCACTCCTTTTTCTTTCTCCTGCTGAGGATGAATGCATTTTTTTATCCAGCCAAACTTAATAAAGCTAAATGCATATTATGTATTCAGGAAGTATACTTGCACTGCCCCCCCCCAAAAAAAAGGGTATTTCAAACATGCCACCCAAGTAAAATGCTGTATACTTTAATCATAAGTAGACACCTTTGCTGGCTAGCATTTGTAGGCATCATATGTAAGCAAAGTTATAGAAGTTACCATCTACTTCAATCATTCTGATCAAATCAACTCAAAAGAGAAGCAAATAGAGCGTTACCATGCCAGCGTTTCAATTTTCCTGATGCACATGCACACAATTTTGGCAATGGTTCTTTTCCAGGTGAACTGAGCCACATGTAGGAAGAACCATATGCCATTGGATGTTCAAATGTGAAAACGATGCTAACCAGAATAACAACCAGTTTGTTGCTATTCTAGCAACAAACTCCATCAGAATAAAGAGGAATCGGCAACAAGAAAGAGTTCAAATGTTCAAGACTGTGGCAGTGCAAATTTTATGAATTACAAAACTAAGATCAAGAATAAATATAGAAGCCAGGATGATGGAAGTAATAACTAAAGTCAACCTCTCACTAGCATCTAGCCCCCAAAAAGTTATTTTTTATTTGACTTGTCACTTATGGTTAACCTGCCACAAGTTAACAATGCTACCGCAAGAACTGACACAGTTATGCCATGCTGTGTATAGTTAGCGACATGAACATAACTGTCATATACCATGACCCACCTCAGTGGTTCCATGGCCCAGTTAACTTAAAAGTTACACTAACCATAATAATAATAATAATAATAATAGTAATAAAAATAATACATAAAAAATTATTATTTTTATTAACTGCCTTGGCTTTGTCCACACTGCTCACTCAGGGCAGCTTTTCATATATAGTTTTTTTTCTCCATACTGTGGATCACGAGCAATGACGGTCCAACAATTTTTTCCTTACTTATCCAAAATGTTATATTCTACTGGATGGCATTGGTATTCTTCTACGAAAGTAGAAGTGAATTAATGTAAATGTGAATACAACCTGTTACATACATTCAAATTGCATGTGACCAAAGACTTGTAAATTTAAGTGTGTGTGTGTATGTAAAGCAAATTTCAGGATACACAAATTGATGAAAAATTGTGTTGCCAATTTCTTAAAATAGCCCACAATATAAATTCACTTAATACTACTACATTATAAGAAGTAGCAAAGTGATAAACAAAACACCATCTTTAATCAATGGGATAAACAGTTACATCTTAAAATGTATTCTCATTTTAAAGACACTAAGTACATTGTATGAGCAGTAGACACCTGATTTTAATGTGAATTTCTTCTGCCTAGACATTTACTGTACATTGTCATCACATTGTCCACCTTTATCGCTGCACTTCTCCACCTTAATTATTATACAAAGAGAAACATCTATATAGAGGCCTCCCATAAGTCACTCGTGTAACAGCAACTGAGAGAAGAATATGCAGGAAGTACGAAGAGGGACTGTATGTGTGAGGTAGAATGTACATTAGAGAATCTGTGGGTAAGTACTGGCAAGTACAATTTAGTACAAGACTGTATGGTAGAATCGAGTGCATACCAATGTCTACAGGGTACACAATGTCTACAATGTCTTCTAGGCTGCATGCTCACGCCTTCGCATGAGATCGTGTGTGTGTGTAATTACCAGAGTGTAGTTACAGGACGAAAGCAACACTCATGGTATCCGGTCTTCCCAGTACTGTCATACAACGCTTTGAAACTACCGACGGTTATGGCCTTGACTACTTTCTCACTCAAGTTGTTCCAACTGTCTACTACTCTGTTTGCAAAAGAAAACTTTTATAATATTTTTTGGCACCTTTGTTTCCTTAGCTTGAATCAATGTCTTCTTGTTCTTGATGTTGCCAGTTCCAGGAATTCCCCTTTGTCAATTTGGTAAATTCCCATTATAATTTTGTAAGTGGTGATCATATTGAACCTTTCTTCTATCTTCTAGCTTTGATGTACAGTATTCTGAGAGACTAGAGGCATTAAATAACTAATTTTTTCAGGTTTGGAAGACATTTTGTAGCATGCCTTTGCACCTTTTCCAGTTTATGGATGTGCTTCTTGAGATATGGACACCATACAACTTCTGTATATTCCAATTTTATCACAAAAGTCATGAACAGTTTCTTTAGTATTTCGCCATCCATGTAATTAAAAGCGGTATGAGTGTGTGTGTGTGTGTGTGTGTGTATATACACACACATAAAAGGGGCATTTGCTAAAGGCAAGCCAAAATGTTGTCAGTGACCAGGTGTGTAGGTACATGAAGGTGTATGTATCTAGAGAACTCTGGAGATGTGCCGAGATCAAGTTTGGTTACGAGTATCGTCTTACACGAGCCATCCTTGACAGAGCAAAAGACTAATAGGCTATAGTCAGTATAATGATCCATAATCCATTTGAGATTCTACAGACAACTATAATAAAATATATAATTTATTAACAACTTTTACAGATAATTTCCATGATATGATGATATCCAAAGATCATAACTGATGAATATTTCCCTTTGTTGTGATCCATTTTCATGTAATATCAACATAGATGCCATCCATGATAAATATAATCTGCCAAGCTTTAACCCACTTACAAGTAGAGGTACAAGTGGATACAGCTTACATTAGATACCAACAAAGAAAATTAACAATATTCATACATTCTCAATAAAATAACACACAAACCACAGGACTTTATCTTATTCATATATCATAAAATATAACAAAATTAAGCATGTTATTAAAATGAGACAATATAAAACATGAAGACACTAGGCAAGTAACTAGAAATACAAAATGACATTGATGTTCTGGAATTTCTATTTAAAAACTTTACATTGGTGGCTTGTCTCAATAACCCAATGAAGAGATCTCACGAAGAGTGACCTGACAACTACGACAATCTAAAAAACAAAGATTGCTTATATTAAACTTCAGTTTTGGCTTGATATACAAAGATAGTTTATCTGGGAGCTATGAAAATACAGTAAAGACATAACTGTATCAAGGTGTTCCATGACCAGTTGTATTTTGAAGATAAATTATTGCTTTTTACATGAACCCCCACACCGATACCAGCTGTTTATATCAAACCATACCACCTAAACTAAGGAATATCATAAAGCTATTTCCTATCGCTTTGTAGATGAATCCATGAGGTTACTTCATGGACAAGTGAAGCAAACCTCTCTTTACAGTAAAAAGCAATGAGATTTCATACTAGATAAAAAATTAAAATAAGTTTCCAATTAAGAAAATTACAATGCATGTTAAGCCCAGATGAAAATATAGTATATCATAAATTCCATTTTTATTAATAATTATAATTTTGAGCCTTAAAAACTATCAGGTATCATTTACACAATTGGTTGCAAACTTGAAAACATGGACGATGTGAAACGATGTACAATATCCTGACATAAGCATTCATTAACCAGAGTGTACTTAATGTTTGGATGCTTCTCTATTAAATATAAATAATTAAATTCATTATAACACAAGTGACAAATTATAAAATATACATCAGAAAGAATATATTAAAACAAAACCTAAACCAATAAAAATGAGCCCATTAAAAGCCTACACATGTCTGCTGAACATTGCACGAATGTTAATTTCTGTACCCTAGAAAAATAGAAATAAATATGTTCCTCCTCTTGCATTGTTGTTCTTATACCGATTAATAATCCTCCCACTCCAAAACCACTCCAGTGGTTCAGAGTTAAGTGTTTCGATTGATCCCTATAGGAAAGCAGAACCTTTAAATTCATGGGTGTGTTAATAATTCACAAAAAACTGCAATCTTCCTGTCATAATTTAATGCCACCTATAATGAGGGAGAGAAGGAAAAGTAACAAGAAGCAAGCTCAGCAAAACTATACATTGCATAACGGCTCGTTTCAGCTTTATCATTAACGCTAAGCTTGCCTCAGGCTACGTCAGGAGATTCAATATACATCCACGGAGCCCAAAACCTGAAGCACTGAGGGAAAACAGAAATCTGGATGCTCTACAGTCAAGCACCAGAAACACAGTCAAGAAATATTTGGAAAATTAAATGTCTCATTTAAATATATTTGTCTTTTGTATCCTGCTCTTTTGATACATTCTTAAACACAGTCTCAAGATCATCAGCTCAAAGTTTTCACTTCCTATCTCTTACAATCCAACATATATTCTTAATAATTATCCCTACGTTGGTAATGATGTTGAGAGGGTGAACTGTGAGGTTGGTTGTTGAAGCGGGACCCATGAGCCCTACCACGGCTGCCAGTGTGTTTCCTCATGTTGAACCTGTCAAATCATAAATATACTTAAATATTACAGTATTGTAGTATACCTTAATAAAGTACATTAAATATATTTAATATTTTACCATTTGTTGATTCCTCAATCAATGCAAGAACAAGTAATGCACATCAACAGTAATCTCTTTCACAGGTTACATCATAAGATAAAGACAACAATAAGCATTATCTAAAAAATACAAACCATGCACTGAATGTAATGAAATGTACTTTTCTGGTGGGCCTATCAAAAGCTCCCTGAGCAGGTGCTGCCATGCCTCAAGGAGATGCAACAGCACACTGAGGCCCATCCTTGCCTACCTCAAGCTAGCACCAGAATCTGGCTCTCTACAAAATAAGGGAGCCTTTCAGATCAGAGAAAAGTCCAAAACTGAGGGAAAAGAAAACACTCAAGCACAACAAAATAAGCAATTGCGTTAAGAAAATTTGGTGCCCAGGGGTAACAAGGCAAATGATCATTGCCACAAGATAACCATCTATTGCAGATGTGCAAAAGGTACTCGGAGAACTCTTATCAACATCAGAGGCCTGAGACTGTTCAACACGCTTCCACTACACATAAGGGGCATAACTGGCCAATCCCTCAGTGTTCAAAAGAGAACTCAATAAACACCTCCAAAGGATACCTGATCAAGTATATATATATAAAACAGCAAATCTGCATCATACTTGGTAAGCGAGGGAGTGTTTTGATTGTAACTTACAAACTATCATAAAATGTCATTGACTAGGAAATTAAGATATTTCATATCTTTCTTGGCCAAAGAAATTTATCCATGCTATCTCACCATAAACAAAGTTAAAATACTGTATGGGAGAAATATTGATTGCCATCTTCTGCCAATTATATTAAGGAGTATAGCACTTACATTACTCCTTATTTAATTGCTACACTCAAGAATCAAACATGTAAATATTATGTGTATGCAAAAAATATATCACATGTTGAAGAACTAGCTGGCTGGCTGGCTGATGAATGATGGCCACTCACCCAGCCACATCCTGGCTCTTCATATTGACACTAATTTATTATAAAGTAGGCATAAATAAAGGTTTATAATGACAGGAGCAAAACTATATTGGCAAATTTGCATCATAATAATTGAGGAAGTGTTACAGTGATAGGAAAATGTTATCTGCAAAGCAATGTCTGCTTTATTTTCTTGGCCAAATAAACTCACCTTTATGCTATCTCCCCTTCAAGTGAAAGATCTGAGAAATAGAATGCTTACTAACAAAAGAATAAAAAATGCTGGGAAGAATTAAGCAGAGTTTAATAGGAGGCCCGGTCGGCGACCGGGCCGCGGGGACACTAAGCCCCAGAAGCACCTCAAGGTAACCTCAAGGTAGGAGTTCGTGAGGCAATGTCTGAAGCCCTCTCACAGCCAGCATGACCTAGCCCTAATGATGTTACATGGTCTTTTCTCAAATTCCTAGATTTTCAGTTATTTGGACATTCAGAGGTACTAATTGGTCTGGATAATAGCAGTTGCACTGCATAAACAGAATGACAAGACTTTAGATAACAACCTTTCACGGTCGCACTCCATATCCTCCAATCTTTGTGTAAGAGCTAATTTTTGTTGAATAGCCATTCGTAAGAGTGAGTTAAGGGTTTTCTTCTCCTCTTCTGCAGCCACTAGTTGCCGTTGTACTTCATCCAGCTGAGTTACATATTCCTCACATCGAGCAGCAAACATAGCACGCAGACCTGTTCAACAAAGTAATGCATAAATTCAAACATATATTTTGCATTTATACAACATTTATGAGTTATAATTCAAGTTGTGCAATGTTCTGTGAATCACCATCCTATGTCTTCTATATGCAATGTTTATGTGTACTCACTGGAGAATGTGGCAGCATCCTCCTTCAGAAGTCGAAGTTCGTTACGTAGTTTCATCATCGTTTCAGAAACTATACTCTTCTCTGTCTCATATTTGGATTTTAGATTGGCCAAAGCAACCTGAGGAGTTGTGATTTTTGTTATACAATTAAATCATAGTTTAAAAAAATCAGTATAGAAACTATTATAAGCTCCAGAAAAATTTAATTTATTTTGGATACAAAATACATCACTAATAGCTTCTTTAACCTACTTTAAGTATATAAATATAATATAAAGCAATGCTATATTATATGAATAAAAATAATTCACATTATTTAGGCATTTTCACAAAACATGAGTGCCACTACCTGACCATACATACATAAACAGAGGGGGTAACCATAATACAGTAACCATAATACAGTAATACAGTAACTACACTGACTGGTACAATTCCTAAGTGTGTGTATACAGAATACACTCTAGAAAGGTCTGTCTCTAAGTATACAGCATAGAAAATGAGCAGATGAACATGGATATCACAATAGGCCTATCACTGAAGGAGGCAGGGACGTTAAAACCTAACATTCCCAATACGCAATTTAAAATTTTAATTACAAATAAATTATCCTTTATTTCAATACGGTAGATTAAATCAGGAATATTACCTCGGCAGTGTTCTTATTTGCCTTCAAGACAGTACGAAGGGTAGCGATTTGCTCTCTCTTTGTGGAGAGGAGAGATTTGAGTTTGATCACCTGTTCTTGCAACTCCTGCACCTCGCTCTCACTTAGTCCACCTACAAATAGACGTGAAATTTTGTGTTGTTAAAAGGTCATTTTATGTATTACAGGAACAAACAAAACTTCTTGCTTAAAAAAATTATTTCAAATAAAGCATTTCTGAATATTTATACATATTCATTGTTTTCAACTTTCCCTACCTAAAGTAGGCAAATAATGTATGTTCTGGAGTAGTCAAGTATTTTACCTGCATTTCCTAACATACGCTATAAAAACAAATTATGGTGTTTACTGAATCTCCAAAATTGTATCCCTTTTCCAAACACTTCAGATTTAAAGTATCAGGTTAGGTCACTCATTACTCCCTCCTGGTACACATGATGAAACTATAAGCTATGTGGCCTAAAATCATGAGCAATAACACTTATTACCTTGCAACACTCAATTTAGAAAATTATACAAAGTATAGCCTAAATGATCTGGCTCCAATGTATGTTATAGTCATACATAGAAGTTGAAGTGTTAGCAGTGTTCTGTTGCTAGCTATCTTTATTAAATATGTGGTGTACATATAAATTTCAAAAACAAATATCAAACAACATCCAATAGAGTCTGATTAAGACTTTATGCACTATGACCCACCAGAAGGAAGTCATGCATGACAAAATCTGCTAATAATGCAAATATTATATGAAAATAATAACTGAAGACAACTACTGTACAAGATTCTACTGGGATGACTTGGATGGATGCAGTAATGGCCCAGAGTGTGGGCTAGAGATCAATCCTCCAAGTAAGAGGCTGGGGAAGGAAGACCTGAGGTAGTCTGCCACCCATGAGGGAAGCAACTCCAGGTAGTCAACAAAAAAGAAAGCCCTATGAATTGACATCACACTAAATCTGTCCCCCAAAAGCCCATATAAATTGGATAACATCTATAGCTTGTGCAAAGCTAGCAAACATCATGACTGCCTTCAGGAAGTTTGAGGAGTTATCCAGGATGCTACACAATTTAACTTACTTTCAGAAGGTGATGACTCCTTATACTAACTTACTTTCAGAAGATGACGACTCCCTTGCAAGTCCCTTTTCCTTGCTTAGCTCTATTGTATGCTCTACAGATTTCTTAAGATGTCGGATCTGGTCAACTATGGTGTCCACAATCTCACGAACTGCAACTGGGTCACTGTTATCCACCTGAAAGATTTATTCAGTTTTGAGAAAGCTCAACATCATTGTTTAATTATATTAATATCAACCATAGCAACCCCAAAACCTCACTTGTACTTACATATCAATTAAAAAAAAAAAGTGTGGTATGTGTTCAGATACCTTTGTATGGGACTCCACTAAACTTTACATGATAGTGAAGGGCCTTCATGAAGCAGTCACACCGCAAGTAGGCGTGTTGCAGCCACTGGGGACTGTGGAGGCCGTTCAAACAAAATTTAGTATTTTGGGAAACTTCAAAATTCACAATAATGTGGTAGTGAAGAGCCTTACAGTAAACAATCTTCACTATACATAATCTTCTAAATAGCAAGATGTAGTGAAGATGCTCACTATTCATGAAATTTGCCCCATTTTTTACCTAAGCAATGTCAGATTCCTCCTGTAATATCGTTCACTTTTCGTGGTTTTTACATGAAAAGGACAACTTTTGTAAAAATAGACATTTGTATGGTCAGCACAGTAATCAAATCAGTCAATATGATGTCGCTGCACATATTTGACTTGACTAACAGCACATCTGACAAGTTAATGAGACTGAATACCTACCAGAATTGTCAGCCTGTGAACTCTGATGAACTAGTAAAGCATTCACTTCTACACTACATTACTGAATGTGAAACTAAAAGATTTTACACCTCCTGGGCTATTGTACAATCAACTAGGTAACTAATGGAATCTGGCACAGTAGAAGACATCCTAACAATTTATACTAAATTGATTTGTCCATTCTTTTTTTAAGTTACATCTTGTAAAGCTATTCCTATCATGTGTGGTATGAACAATAAACAGTTTCATTTATAAATTTATACATTAAAACATGTATTCTATCTGATGTAGTAGAGTGTAACTTCATGAAATATATTTACTGTTAATCAATCTACAATTTAGACTTAAGACAGCAATTTCGACAGCTGTCGGGGGCCTGATAGCTGAATGGACAGCACTCAGAATCCGTAGTCCTGAGGTTCCAGGTTGAATCCCCGGCAGTTTCTTTCACCGTGATGCTCCTGTTACCTAGTAGTTAAGACATCTGCTACGGGCTGCTTCCTGGGGGTGTGTAACAAAAAGGAGGCCTGGTCGAGGACCGGGCCGCGGGGACACTAAGCCAATAAATCATCTCATGATAACCTCAGGATATTGTCTTGTATATGATTGTCTGTCCTGTGTGACAGTGAATATTTAGCAGCATTTTGTCAATAAAGCAATCAATAATAAGTAATCCAAGTCTACTTTTCCAGTTTGTGAATTAGCTTTTTGACACGATCCATATTTATAGGGAATGTCATAAAAGGTTATGTTCATCTAAAAGATGCACTCCATGCATCTTTCTCTTTCATGCTATATCTTAGTTACCCTGCCATCTAACTCACATTCATCATGTATGCTCAACTACATCTACTTTTGCCAGGTTCAGAACAGGGGCGCCCTGTTCTGAACCCATGTTATCCAGGGTTACGTAGACATTGATTCCATGTGTTTTGTGATTTTGCTATCAGTCTACAAAGGATCAACCATTCTTGTGGATGGCCAAATCACTTCTGTTGTGAAACCTTATTAATGAATACAAATTCTTTAACTCAAATAATGTCTTTCTTTCCTGTTTTAAATTTATTATTCCAGATTTAACTACAGTACATCCCAACTTTATTTTAAGAAAGTCAATTAAACCTACATTATTCCTTATGTAATCCTCCTATCTCAATAACATTAAATGCAGATCAATTTTGCTAATCTAATATAGCAATTTACATGCAAAATAAATTGTCAAAGGACTTTGACTAAAATTCTACCGATAAAAACTTACAAAATCAGAAAGTGTGACATCAGTGCGAAGTTTGGCACGGAGAGCCTCAAGATGTGTTGCAGCCAAAGTAGGAGATGAAGGTTTACGATCTTCTTCACCACCTAAAATAAACAAATGGCCCGTGTATATTACAGACAGTTTGTCTTATGTTGCTATCAAGTGGATGATATGACAATGGGCGAGTGCAATATATTTTAATATCTATGACCTTAATTCAGGGCTGATATATCCCCACCTTATTCAGTGGGAAATGAGTAAACAATAATGATGTCACAGTTATACCATGATTCCAGCATGTCATCCAAAAATGATAGTACAGTGGACCCTAGGTTTACGAATTTAATTCGTTCCAATAGACAGCTTGTACATCTAAAATTTGTAAACCAAAAGAATTTTCCCCTAAGAAATAATGTAAATTGAATTAATCCATTCCACACACCCAAAAATATCAACTTAAAAATATATTTCATACAAAATACTATTCATATTTTTTACTATACAGTACCTTACCCTTATTGAAGACTCTTGTTGTGTTGGCATATGAAAACCAGTGAGAAGGGGGGTGATGGGGGAGAAGGAGGGTGTTAGTGTTTGCAAGAAGTCCCCTTCCATTATAACATCAGGCACTGATGACATTTCTGGGGTACACTCTCTCCAACGGTTTGCAGGTACACCACTAGGACCTGGTTGTGACTCGCTGCATGCTTGTCTTACTATCTTACTAAGAATCTGTCTAAGACACTTACCTGCTTGAAGGAGTTCTGGGAGTTGCTCTACTCACCACGCCTCAGCCTAGGCTTGTGATAGCTTAGTCCAACAGGCTGTTGCTTTGAGCGGCCCGCAGGCCCACGTATCCACCACAGCCCTGTTGGTCAGGCACTTTTTGAAGAAAACTATCTAGTTTTCTCTTGAAGATGTCCACGGTTGTTCCGGCAATATTTCTTATACTGTACTCGATGGGAGGATGTTAATCAACCATGGCCCTCTGATGTTTATACAGTGTTCTCTGATTGTGCCTATGGCACCCCCTGCTTTCCACTGCTTCTATTTTGCATTTTCTTACATAACATAATAGAGTGAACAATATTTTAATGTGTGGAGTTGGTACCTGGCCCTCCAGTATTTTCCACGTGTACTTTATTTGACATCTCTCGTCTCCTTTCTAGTGAGTACATTTGGAGAGCTTTGAGACAATGCCAATAATTTAGGTGTTTTATCATATAAAGCACGTCTATGTATGCCGTATATGTTTTCTGTATACTCTCTGTTTCTGCTGTACACTATTTCAGCTCTGTTCCATATATCAAGGGATGCTTGTAAAGGTTAAAGAATTGAAGATGTGGATAAAAGGAAATAGGATTTGCAGGAACAAGTGAAATATCTAACAAAAGTATACAACCATTTGGGACTTGCCTTTATCTGCATTATGCCCTTGTTTACTGTGGTCCAGCAGTACTCTTGAAGGTGTCTCTCCATTAACTGTGCACACATGGTGATACAACTGTGCAAGCTCCTCACTGATTGTCCTATAAACAAAATAAACCTTATCAGTGATAACCAGAAAATGTTAATTGCACCTCATCGGGCTCAGTTTAATTAAAACAGGCCAGAATGTTGAACAAATAAATGACGTAGAGTATTTTCAAGTGAATTTGAGGCTAGGAGGAGAAGGCCTGGAAAAAAATGTGGGTGGATATGGCAGATACTTGAAAAAATTCAAGTGTCTGTATATATAATTGACAGTCTGTCTATATTATATATACAGTATATTTTATTATATATATATATATATATATATATATATATATATATATATATATATATATATATATATATATATATATATATATATATATATATATATATATAATTATATTATATATTATATTATATACAAACAGACACACATGCATGAATTCATAAACACACACATGTATATCCATTTTTCTTTAAAAACGGTCATGCATAAACACCAATCAATACATTATGAACATACCCTAGATCATTTTTCGTTATGGATAAAGATCCCTCTCTGCTGTTCATCATCTGACTAAGAACGTTCACATCATTACCCAAGTCAATGGACTTTTGCTCTGCATCAATCAGCTGTTAAAAGTATAAAAATTTAAATTAATTTCTAATGTGGAATAACAATAAGAGTAATTTTATTACTGAATAAATGACACCAAGACAAAACAATGTATTTTGATGAACAATTCATAAATTGTCAATAACCTCAACAGATGTAAACAATGAGGAACACTGACCCTAGAGCGAATTGTTGCCACTTCATTACGGAGCTGCTGAACAGCTTCACTTGCTGACCCACTTTCCGAGTTCTGAATCTCTGCAAGGCTCTTCTTTAATTCGGATATCTCTCTGGATGCAACTTGATACCTAGATTTCTGTTTTTCTAAAAAGCTTACCAAGTTTGCCGTGTCTTCGGCATTCATCTGAAACGATTACTTTTATGAATGACATGTTGTTTGGTATAAAGATCATACATACCTAAGTAAGGAAGTCTACTTAGTCCATATCACTTGTGTAATTAAACTTCTTAAATTCAGACTGCTTTATAACAAAAGTCTCTCAACAGTGTATTAATGTTACAATCAGATTGGCTCTGTGAAACCCGTATCTGATCCAGATCCATGGAAGCAATCGTCCAGAATTGCAGACACTTCATTTACTGGAGTAATTTCTAGCCGATCGAAATTTGTCATTATTTCTACTATTCTTTTGCAGTTGAAGTAAATAAACAAAAATATAAACATTTTAGTGAACTTGTATTACATCAGTAGTATGAATGGTACAACGTAGTTAATGTTATTTTTCAGGTGGGTGGCCAAGTGCTTCTGACACTACTCACCTTTACCATCCTCTTTTCTTTAGCTATTTAATTATTTGTAATTAAGAAAAGGTCTGTGGATGCAAGAGTAGTCTGGTTTGACCAGGTAGGAGGAAGAAGTGTGTAAGTGAAGAAGTCTGAATATGTAACACTGCCCAAAGCCCTGACACTAATGACCAACAACCAGTATGAATCATACCAATATAGATATAGAATCATACCAATATAGAGTAAAATTAATATACTAGTACTGTACAGTATTCAAAATGGGTTTCAGTTATTTCCATACCTGAGTTGGGTTCTCCTGATCGTGCAGTTTAACAAGAGCAGAGATGTGACCTAGCAGGTGAGAAACCCGAGCATGCTGGGCATCCAATTCCCCACGAGTCTTCTCCAGCCCCTCCTGACTTTCCTTAAGGTTGGTTGTCAACTGGCTTTTCTCGTGTTCGGCCTAGTTTTCAAATACAGTAAATATTGATTAGTTTTCAAATAAATTAAATTTTTTCCTTAACTGGGTCATTTTGAATTCAGTCAAAATTTTACATTAAAAACTCAATCACTCAATGAGCAAACATTATTTCTACAGAGTAAGAATTTGCCCAGATAATGAGATTATTGTACAAACCTCTTCTAGTTTCTTCTCCAGCTTACGCAGTTCATTCAAATGGATCTCCGAGAAAAGGTCGCCTCCCATTTCTGCTGTGCCGCCACCGGCACTCAGCAACTCTGACTCCAACCTCCGCAGGACAGGTGTGTCATCTTCACCATCACTCTCGCCAAAATCTGTACTACCTAAACATGTGCCAGAATATAACAGAACAGGTAGATTGTCAAATATATATATATATATTCTCCTCCACTCTAATCCATTGGAAACATGCACATGAACTAGTGGGATGCAAGAAGTACTTTTTTCATTGTGCAAGTACTCAACGAGTGCAACACATCCACAATGTGAAAAGCAGAAACCTGATAGTAAAAGTGGGCCCAAAAGCTATTCCTCTACACTGTACATACAAGGAAGAATGACCAGTTCAGGGAAGAATTTTGGCAGTAAAGACTAGCTCCAGAGTTGAGAGTTATGAGTTTTCAGGCAATACCAAAGGAATTAAACATCACATTACTGGAAGATGGAATTATCAGGGGTGACAATTACCCTGTGTAAAATTCTCAGGGAATTCAATACAACAAACATTGACAGACCATTTGGAATCGGTGGTATACGGAACGTAGAAAATATACCAAAATGAGTTAAGACATTAGAAAACATTTGGTGCCACAATAGCAAAAAAATGGAATGCACTAAGTATAGCAGTGAAGGATGACTATACAGAGCTTCAAAGGCAGATATGACAGCCCAGTAAACCTAGAAACCTAAACACCAATTAATTAAAGGATGAGAGTCAGAATCTAAGAGTTGAAGCTTAATGAATGCAAGCACAATCAGGCAAGTCATATATATGCATCCCCACACAGTCACTCGGGCAACCAAAAACTGGAAATCACTAATAAGCAAGTCCCTGCTCACATTTTGCTTACAAGTCTACCCACAGTGCCAATTATTTAGCCCATCCTCCTAGTTGAATACTCCAAGTTTAATTACAAAATATGGCTACCCACACTAGGGACAAGTACTGTACTACAATCACACATCTGTTATCTATGCATCCCCTACATCCTCAGAAAATTCTGGGCCCCCTGTAGCTTGACTAATAAGAACAACTCACGAAACCAATGACAGGCATCTGTTAAGTCAGCTAGTCGTTTTCATAAACCCCACATACGGCACACTTCCTACTGTCGTAGCATTAAGCCAGGAGGAATTCACATCACGGTACCAACGCTGCAAGAATGTGACCCACCCATTTCTTTCTGATGTGCACATTCAAGTGTGGTATCAACTAACATCTTTGGGTGTACAGCAAAATATTTCTTCCGTTCACTATGGAATGGAAAATTTTACCATATGAAATTAGTACTTTGGGGGGCTCCATGCCTCATGCTAGAAGAAACCAGCAATTTGATTCAGTGTCTTCCAATAACTTTAATGTATCTGTGCATACTCCAACTTCTTTGGCAGCTACAACTTTTTTTTTTGTGTGTGTAGTCAGTCAACTTGTTGATCAGGTTGGGTCCCAAAAATTTACTATGCCCTCATTTCCTCAAGTTCACACATTGACGTTGTGTCGGATAAGTTTGATTATGTCGATAAGTGACTCTTGTACAATACTTTCTCAGCCCGATTATGTTTGACTAGAAATTTGCTGATTTCACTTAGCCAATACTGTAAATACAGTACGAACATCTATATCAACATAGCAAAACCACCTAACCCAGGCCTAGCTATACCACACTGAACCAAATATATTAATCTAGATTTATGTAAAACATTTTATATTTTCTTTGAAAATCAAACTTGAGATATTATGATGTAAATTTTGAACATACAGTACACACAAAGGAGACATTATTTGTACTTACATTATTTGTACTTTCATAGGACTTATCTGCATATTCAACATGGAGGATGGACTAAATTACTTTAAGATAATATCTTTCCAGTAATTGACGTTCACATTTTGACCTACAACATTTATATATGAACAATATTGAAAACAAGTAAACAAGAGGCTAGTCACCCACACCTCACATATCAGTGCAGTTTACACCAACCATTTAAACTAATATTTTCAACTCACCTGAGAGCTTCATGCTCATGGCAAGATTCGACAAGTTGTACATAGACTCTGAATTCATTCGCCCATCCAGTTCCTTTTTAAGGGCATATTTGGCTTCTCTTTCAGCTTGAAGGGATTCCAGGGCTTCTTCCATCTGTCTTTCAGCAATCTTCTTGAGGTTTGCCAATTCCTCGACCTGTTGGTTAAGCACCTCTGTTTCTTCTTGAAGGCGGCGAATTTCATGCTTGGCTCCTTCAAATTCAACCTGAGATGACCTGTAGTAAAGTTTTATGTATTGTAACAAAATAAAATAACTAGATATTTCAGGCTTCAACCACAGCCTTAAAATTAAGAGAGCTCAAATCCTCACTTGAATGGAGCCCAGCAAATATATAAATCCTGAATTGATGATTAGGTTCTGACAAAATCTTATTCCAGTCATAAGATCAGCAATGGAAGGGTCATGGCTTAGCAGGGGTACACACTCTCTGAACTGGTACGTCTTAACAGAAAACTAAATTATTAAACAAAATATTTCTTAAATTAAAATATTTTTTGTAAATAATTTCAAATATTTAAACATGTACCACAGTATGTTTTAACATTTGAACAAAATAAAGCATAAATATTGGTGCAATTTTTTTTTAGATCAGACCAATGGGTTATGAAGCGACTCATTCCATTTGAGTGGGATTCCACTGAACACTAATACAATATGTATATTCTTAAAAACATAAATGACCCTTCCCTATGTACACATTATGATATACACACACAAAAAGAGGAGAATCAATATGGACAGTAGTGTGTGTTTATGGGTGGGTGAGGTGTATTTGCCTATACCGTATGTGCTTGCAAGATTGAGCCTAGGCTCGTAGCCCAGGCATTCAAGCATTTTGTAGGCTAATGCAATGATTCTGCTCTCATTTTCTTATATTTACATTGGAAATGGTAGAGTTAACTTTAATAATTTCATCTAATCCATTATTCTTATTTACAACACTAAAGAAGTTCTTTTCCACTTCTTATCTGTTTCGTATTCTGTCGATGGGATTAAACAATTTTGAACAAAATGTTATCAACAAGAGCATTTTCATTTCCACATTGGGTAAATAATAAGCATTTATAAATGTTTACTACTGAAGAAGGAACAACAAAATGATTATCAACCAATGTAAGATTGCTTTAGTGTGAACATTTAAAATAAAGAGTAACTTTGATATGATGTTTTAACAATGTCTGGTAATATACTGGTGTAATTACCTAAGTGCAATTACCTAAGTGTAGTGACAGGATGAGAGCTACGCTCGTGGTGTCCCGTCTTCCCAACACTCTTTATCATATAACGCTTTGAAACTACTGACGGTCTTGGCCTCCACCACCACCTCACCTAACTTGTTCCAACCGTCTACCACTCTGTTTGCGAAAGTGAATTTTCTTATATTTCTTCGGCATCTGTGTTTTGGTGTTGTATATGTCTGGTAATATACTGGTAATCTGGTGTTGTATATAAAAATGAACAGCAAAATAAGGAGAATGCATAGACAATATGAACATCAATAAACCGGTTAAACAACAAATAATACAATGAAGAGAAACCAAAATACTCGGCTCAAAGTAATACAAACTAATGCTAAACATAATAATGCTCACCAATTTTGCTAACTCATTAGCATAAAATTTAACCAGAACCATTAACACTTGAAGTATACACATGCCAGCCGCCGTTCCCACCAGCATTTAATCAGATAATGGCACGCGAGGGGAAACGCCTCGCGTCCAGAGACCAACACCAAACAACCACACCCACTTGGCCAACCTCCTGCCATCAGCCAAGCACCTTTCACAATTCTGAAAAATATTTACCCACATTTTCCCCAAAAAAACTTTCACAGATTGAGAGAGCAAGTGAGAGCGAGCGAGAAGAGAGAAGAGAAAGAGAGAGAAAGAGAGAAAGAGAAAGCAAGAGAAAGAGAAAGAGAAAGCAAGAGAAAGCAAGAGAGAGAGAGAGAGAAAGCAAGAGAAAGAGAGAATGAGAGAAAGCAAGAGAAAGAGAGAGAAAGCAAGAGAAAGAGAGAGAAAGCAAGAGAAAGAGAGAAAGCAAGAGAGAGAGAAAGCAAGAGAGAGAGAAAGCAAGAGAAAGAGAAAGCAAGAGAAAGAGAGAGAGAAAGCAAGAGAAAGAGAGAAAGCAAGAGAAAGAGAGAAAGCAAGAGAAAGAGAGAAAGCAAGAGAAAGAGAGAAAGCAAAAGAAAGAGAGAAAGCAAGAGAGAAAGCAAGAGAGAGAGAAAGCAAGAGAGAGAGAGAAAGCAAGAGAGAGAGAGAAAGCAAGAGAAAGAGAGAAAGCAAGAGAGAGAGAAAGCAAGAGAAAGAAAGCAAGAGAAAGAGAAAGCAGGAGAGAAAACAAGAAAGCAAGAGAGAAAACAAGAGACAGGAAGTGAGAAAGAAAGAAAAAGAAAGCAAGAGCAAGAGAGACCCAAATAAAGAATGTGCAAACAGGTATTGTGAAGTGAATAAGGAGTGTCATACGAGAAGATGTGATGTGAACACAGTTGTGGCGGCAGCATCAAGCAAGGTAAGACCATCTGTTGAGACTATTAAATTTCTATAACTAACATAAGGTACAGTACAACAAAGTTTCTTACTTGAGATTTGATATCTGCTTTTGTAATGTGATGTTCTCATCCTCCAGTTCAGCATAGTCTTGGAAAAGCCGTGTTTCACGAAATTTCAAGTCTTTCAACTCTGCTTTTAGCTGCTTCTTTTCATGGTCAGTAATTTCTTTATCTTTCAACAAGTCTGCAAGTTCTACATAGTAACGAGACTTCTCACTCTGAACACGTTCTAGCTCTGCTCGGCACTACAAAAACAAAAAATCAATTTATAATGAGTAACTTATTCAAATACAGTATTCAAATTCCCAAACTTTAAGCAATTCACATATTACAAGATCTACACATTCACTTAGTCACTGAATCACCCAACTGTTAAGTTCTGAAGTGTCACCCTAAGCTACCCTATGTCTTGGACTAATAAATACCTTAACATTACTCTTCTTGAAATTACAGCATACAAAATTTTGATGAAAAAGGCTTTATTATAAGTAATTTTCATTGCACTCCAGGAATACATGTTTTAGTAATATTTATGCTTTTGAGAAATAAATATAGCTCAAAAAATGTTGACAATTCACTAAATGTAACAATTACTTTTACACAAAACACCATTTTAGAGCATTACATTTATCAAAATATATACATACAGTAAATTTTAATACAATTCAGACCTGTTTTGCTTCAAGTTCAAGCTCGATAATTTGAGAGTTGAGAGAAGTCTCTCTGGCGGCAGATTCGGAAAGCAGGCTCTCCTCTGTCTCAATACCACTGGCTGTAGCGACACGGTGAGTTGTCTGGAACTTGGCAAGAGCCTGAAAAATTTATAATGTAAATAAAAGGCAAGAAATGGTTACTTTTTATGCAAGTATTATAATATTAAGAGGGGCTTCATTTGGCATAAGATCACTTATGCCAAATGAAGCCCCCCTCAAGAGATGTGTGCATACCGTAACATTCATACGTAGGCACAATTGAATGGATAATTAGCTGCCCCAATATTTGCATGGAGGGGTTAAGTTCCTGCAAATTAATAAAATTGCACATACCGAACTAGGAAAGTTTATAGGAGTATATATAGTATATAGGAAAACTAGGTCAAGTTTCACTCACATTCAAGCTTCATTTTACTGCACTCTTTATTCAACAAAACACCTATCGAAACGTCGATATTTGGTGCTCCCGCTACTTTCCAGTCACACATTCAGTACATACTGTAGTACAAAATGCTTGGCATGTGCAATTATGCATAAATACTCTAATAGTAACATTCATAAAACAAAGTAGGGTGTGTGGAAGCCCAACACACAAAGATAAAAAAGAAACTTAACATTGCTAGAGGTAGGACCTAGGAGTTGGGAAACAATATTGCAGTGTCAATCATCTGTATTTACTGAATAGCAGGCAACGCATTCTAAAGTGTGGCCTGTTTTTGGAATAAAGGAAGAAAGCGCTATCATAAAAGTCTGAAAACAGTTGCCTTATCAAAACAATCACTAAAGACAGGGGCCTAGGAGCTGGAACTCCATAAACCCTTTCTCCTTCCTTCAGTCAAATGGAGAAACCATGCAAAATTATTTTGAAAAATATTCAAAGGCATCGAGTGTAGTGGACAAAAAAATAATAAAAATAGGATGCTGACTAGGTATTAAAAGAAGGCAACAAGCCAAGAAGACCACTTATCACTGTCCTAACTAAAATGATGTACATATCCATGTATCTCTTACACATGTGCACACCCCCCCCAACCCTCCACACACATGCACTATATTATAAAATAAAGGGGGTATCACCTCTGGTTGGAAATGTGAGAACCCTTAGCCTCGGAGATAATAAATTGCATTCAAGGGATCCATTTTAGACCCCGAGTATGCATTTGGATATTGTCCTCAACCGCCCTCATTATTTTACTCTTGGTTATACAAAGTTATTTGGTTACAAAATTTATTAGTTACAAATACAGTATGTATAAATAATTGAATATACCTGTACATAATATAATGAGAGAATTTGTCTGTTCAACTACTCAAGGTTTAAAGCCAGATGCTTGGGGGTTACCTCTCACATATGAAACATGTGGGAATATCATAGGCCAGCTGGGGGCTGGTTCCAGTGGCACGCTAAGAAATATCTGCATATAAGCCCCCCCACCCACCCCCTATCAAATTATGATCATGAAGTTAAATCTGAAATATTGGTTGTGTTGTCCATAGACTTAGAAGTTTCAGTGCTTGCTTATGAAATTTATAAGCAGCAATAATGCCATGGGGGGGAGAGGACATCAGAATCAATGCTGCTGTTGGGGGTACAGTAGCTTCATTGCTGCTGGCGGGACTATAGCATCAATGCCATCGGGTGGTGGGTAGCAGCAATGCTACGGGGCCAACTCAGCAGGTTCCATGGAAAGGGGGGGGGGACCAACTCGGCTGGTCCTGTGAGTGGGGGTGGGGGGGCCAACTCGGCTGGTCCTGTGGGTGGGGGTGGGGGGGGGCCAACTCGGCTGGTCCTGTGGGTGGGGGTGGAGGGGCCAACTCGGCTGGTCCGGTGGGGAGGGGGGGGGGCCAACTCGGCTGGTCCGGTGGGGAGGGGGTGGGGGGGCCAACTCAGCTGGTCCGGTGGGGAGGGGGGGGGGCCAATTCGGCTGGTCCGGTGGGGAGGGTGGGGGGCCAATTCGGCTGGTCCGGTGGGGAGGGTGGGGGCCAATTCGGCTGGTCCGGTGGGGAGGGGGGGGGGGCCAATTCAACTGGTCCGGTGGGGAGGGGGGGGCCAAACTCGGCTGGTCCGGTGGGGAGGGGGGGCCAACTCGGCTGGTCCGGTGGGGAGGGGGGGCCAATTCGGCTGGTTCGGTGGGGAGGGGGGGGGGCCAACTCGGCTGGTCCCGTGGGGAAGGGGGGGGGGGGCCAACTCGGCTGGTCCCGTGGGGAGGGGGGGGCCAACTCGGCTGGTCCCGTGGGGAGGGGGGGGCCAACTCGGCTGGTCCCGTGGGGAGGGGGGCCAACTCGGCTAGTCCTGTGGGGGAGGGTCAACTCGGCTGGTACCATGGGGGGGTAGTCAACTCAGCTGGTACCATGGGGGGGGGGGTAGTCAACTCAGCTGGTACCATGGGGAATGGCCTCATGAAGGCCACATGGTACACCCACACCATCCCCACCACCTATCCACACATCCAAGCCAACCTACCTGCACATCTATACCAGCCCTCCCAACTTATTTGCACATACACATCATTCCTAAACACATTACCTGCCCACCCACACCACCCCTTTACCTGCCCGCCCACACCACCCCTTTACCTGCCCGCCCACCCCACGCCTTTACCTGCCCGCCCACCCCACGCCTTTACCTGCCCGCCCACCCCACGCCTTTACCTGCCCGCCCACCCCACGCCTTTACCTGCCCGCCCACCCCACGCCTTTACCTGCCCGCCCACACCACGCCTTTACCTGCCCGCCCACACCACGCCTTTACCTGCCCGCCCACACGCCTTTACCTGCCCGCCCACACCACCCCTCCCCACCTGCCTGTCCATCCACACCGCCCCTCCCCACCTACCTGCCCACCCACACCACCCCTCCCCACCTGCCTGCCCACCCACACTGATCCTCCCCGCCCACCCACCCCTGCCTGCCCACCCACACCGCCCCTCCCCGCCTGCCTGCCCACCCACACCGCCCCTCCCCGCCTGCCTGCCCACCCACACCGCCCCTCCCCGCCTGCCTGCCCACCCACACCGCCCCTCCCCGCCTGCCTGCCCACCCAGACCACCCCACCCACATCTGCCTGGCCACCCACACCGCCCCACCTGCCTGGCCACCCACACCGCCCCACCTGCCTGCCCACCCACACCACCCCTCTCACACCGCCCCACCCCACCTGCCTGCCCACCCACACCTGCCTGCCCCTCCCCGCCTGCCTGCCCACCCACACCACCCCTCCACACCTACCTGCCCACCCACACTGCCCCTCCCACACCTGCCTGCCCACCCACACCGCCCCTCCCACACCTGCCTGCCCACCCACACCGCCCCTCCCACACCTGCCTGCCCACCCACACCGCCCCTCCCACACCTGCCTGCCCACCCACACTGCCCCTCCCACACCTGCCTGCCCACCCACACTGCCCCTCCCACACCTGCCTGCCCACCCCACCGCTCCTCCCACACCTGCCTGCCCACCCACACCGCCCCTCCCACACCTGCCTGCCCACCCACACCGCCCCTCCACACCTGCCTGCCCACCCACACCAGGAATCTGTACAGGAATCAGGAATCTGTACACCAGTTGATTGACAGTTGAGAGGCGGGACCAAAGAGCCAAAGCTCAACCCCCCGCAAGCACAATTAGGTGAGTACACCACCCCCACCTGCCTGCCCACCCACACTGCCCCTCCACACCTGCCTGCCCACCCACACCTGCCTGCCCACCCACACCTGCCTGCCCACCCACACTGCCCCTCCCACATCTGCCTGCCCACCCACACCACCACACCTGCCTGCCCACCCACACCACCACACCTACCTGCCCACCCACACCACCACACCTACCTGCCCACCCACACCACCACACCTGCCTGCCCACCCACACCACCACACCTGCCTGCCCACCCACACCACCACACCTGCCTGCCCACCCACACCACCACACCTGCCTGCCCACCCACACCACCACACCTGCCTGCCCACCCACACCACCACATCTGCCTGCCCACCCACACCACCACACCTGCCTGCCCACCCACACCTGCCTGCCCACCCACACCACCACACCTGCCTGCCCACCCACACCACCACACCTGCCTGCCCACCCACACCAACCAAAACAAACCAACATGCAAGATAGCCCCGTGGATAGGGACACATCTGCCCCAATCACAACAAAATATAGCAGATAAATGAGGCGGGGCGAGTGAGTGAGTGAGGGGAGATGGTGGGAGGATCACCCAGGAGGAGGAAGATGGGATGGAGGCGGCGGTGAAGGGGGCGGGGGGCCTCGACCCCTTCCCTCCCACCTTAACAGCTGACGACCACAACCAGTGAACCAGGGCAGGTAACACCCCTCCTCCCTGCCCCAACCTTCGCCCCAGGGCCTCTCACCTCTCTGGTGCTCTCCAGTTCGTGCTTGGTGTTCTCGTAGAGGGCCTCCAGCTCCTCGCACCGGGAGTGCAAGCTCTCCTTCTCCTCGAGCAACACCAGGCCGTACTGGGCCGCCTGGTTCTTCTCGCTGCTCGTCTGGTCCAGCTCCTGGTTGAGCCTCTCCAGCTCCTCCTTCAGAGTGTCGATGGACTCCATGGTGAGTGTGACAGCGCGAGGCGACGAGCTACAATGCACGAGGGTGTTATTTAGGGGCCTTGGCCGCTACACAAGAGTGAGGAGCGGTCGACCCATGGCTCCTCTCTCCCTCAGGTCTGGCCACAGAGTCTCGGGCTCTTGGGAACACCTTGCTCTACCGCAGCCTGCTTCTCGCCAACCCTATTTTTCCCCGCAAGCATTTATTAAAAACTGTAAATGTATCTCGTTTGTGACACTTTTATAATTAATGCATTCAATTTTATTCATCTTCTTTCTATGAGGAAGTCGATAGAGTAATGAATTAATAGCGAGTCAGATTATTGGAATCGCGTACCACAGAAAACGAGTAGGTAACGTGACTTTTCTAGTATGAACTAAACTATTTTATATGAACTCTTTCCTTTTTTTATATAGTTTTGAATGACTTGTACCTTAGCATTTATCCTTTGCAATATTTTTGCTTTACCTCCCTTACTTACATCGTCCGGGTAAATTATTGAATTAAATGTTTCGTTTGTATCTTTCCACTATTCCGTTGAATATTTTCAGAATTTCTTGGATGGTAAAAATATAGAAAACTCATATAGTGAGGCCATATAGATCGGCGTAACGTTATTTGATGACTAGTAAAAATCCCTTGAAGGTGTTTGACTCGAAACAAATCACTCACACCGAAACTTAATTTACTATTGCAAATTCCACTTCACTATGTATAAAGAAAACAGTCAAGACACTAGAATTCAAGAAATGTCAAAACATTTAATTCGAATTCAATCAAAATCTTTGCCAGGAATATCGCTAATCTGCTTACGGTATATAAGCATGAGTGCATGTATGTGACCTCTCCCGCTGCTGCCCAACCACTGATGGATGGCTGTGTTCAGTGACTGATAGACTATAATATATATACAGTATATACGTATTATTATTTAATTGTTTATAACGTGAAGATCATTTTTGAGGGTTCAGTACCTGAAACCATTATGTGATTCGATATAAGGCCTTTAATTCCACAGCCCAATATATATCTACGACTATATGGTCGTATGGTCTTCGTAGTTTCCTACACTGAGCTTTAATTTTGCTCTGTAACTAGTGTTACCCAATCTCCCAATCTTTATATACTTAACCCAAACAACTTTATCATTGTGTTCATTGCTGTCTTCTTTTATGTGCTAGCCATATGCTGTATTGTGCCTACAAATTTTTGTTAAACTACCATTCAAGCTGTCATTGCAATCAATCTGAACTACCAAGCACAGACTCAGTATTCGCAGTGTTTTTCAGCTCTTTGCACTTAGGAAAATGAACTAAACTTTCATTTGACAACTGTGATTTCCATAAACTAAGTTTTGTAATGAAGCACTTGATGCCATCATACAACTGAGTGATGAGTTTGCTTTTACCTTGTAATTTCAAATTAAGATCAGTTAATTGTGCAGTAATGTCCACAGCAAAAGCCAGATCCTGGAGCTAACTTTCATCTTTTATTTCCTCTGTGTTTTGACCTTTCATCTCCAAAAACATAATTATTTCTTGTCTCAACAAATACAATCTTTTCAGCATTTTGTGACATGACATCCAGCGGACTTCCTTGTAGAATGGAACATGGGTAATCTGATTATCCATATCTTCCAACAACTGGCTGAACTGGTGATAGTTTAAATTAATAAAACTGCAATTTTGGCTGTTAAATGACCGAGTTACAGTACCCATCGTGCGGGCCGCAGGTGAGTTTGCAAAGGGCCCCGCATGGTTGACATGCCTGCTTTGCATGATGGCAAATTCCACTAATTTCCAATCTCGCTAAATAAAAAAAATAAATCTATCCTCACTTGGGGTCATGTAGCACATTAAATGTTATGATGGAAGGTGGTGAATGTAGTACTGGGAATATATATATATATATATATATATATATGTCGTACCTAATAGCCAGATCGCACTTCTCAGCCTACTATTCAAGGCCCGATTTGCCTAATAAGCCAAGTTTTCATGAATTAATGTTTTTTCGTCTACCTAACCTACCTAACCTAACCTAACCTAGCTTTTTTTGGCTACCTAACCTAACCTTACCTATAAATATAGGTTAGGTTAGGTTAGGTAGGGTTGGTTAGGTTCGGTCATATATCTAAGTTAATTTTAACTCCAATAAAAAAAATTGACCTCATACATAGAGAAAAGGGTTGCTTTATCATTTCATAAGAAAAAAATTATAGTAAATATATTAATTCAGGAAAACTTGGCTTATTAGGCAAATCGGGCCTTGAATAGTAGGCTGAGAAGTGAGTTCTGGCTACTAGGTACGACATATATATATATATATATATATATATATATATATATATATATGTCGTACTTAGTAGCCAGAACTCACTTCTCAGCCTACTATTCAAGGCCCGATTTGCCTAATAAACCAAGTTTTCCTGAATTAATATATTTACTATAATTTTTTTCTTATGAAATGATAAAGCTACCCTTTTCACTATGTATGAGGTCCATTTTTTTTATTGGAGTTAAAATTAACGTAGATATATGACCGAACCTAAACAACCCTACCTAACCTAAGCTATCCTATATATATAGGTAAGGTTAGGTTAGGTAGCCAAAAAAAGCTAGGTTAGGTTAGGTTAGGTAGGTTAGGTAGACGAAAAAACATTAATTCATGAAAACTTGGCTTATTAGGCAAATCGGGCCTTGCATAGTAGGCTGAGAAGTGAGTTCTGGCTACTAGGTACGACATATATATATATATATATATATATATATATATATATATATATATATATATATATATATATATATAAGATATATATATATATATATATATATATATATATATATATATATATATATATATATATACATATACATATATATATATATATATATATATATATATATATATATATATATATATATATTAAGCATACCTTGCTTAATAAAGTGTACATCATAATAAAAAAAAAAAGGGGGTGGTAGGAGAAGTGAACACTCTTTCGTATTCAGAGTTAAATGTCAAGTTTTTCCCTGAGTGCTCTGTGTTCCCTTCTCTGAGGCTGTGGGTCCCTATAATTGCACCAGTGGTGGTACCCCCCCTATATATATATATATATATATATATATATATATATATATATATATATATATATATATATAATTCTTTGTCGCTCTCTCAGAATTCACCAATAAATTAACCAGTCTTTCACTATAGTTAAAGCCACAAAGAGATTTAAATCACTTAATTAATGACCACCAAGGAATATATTGCAATTTTGGCAGATTCATAAAATCCCATTGGCTTCTCTTCAAAATGTTTCCCATCAAAGTAGATCAACAAACTGTTAGCACGCATCATCCTGACATTTATTGTCAGTTTGTCATATTAGCAAATTCTCCTCCGCATTCCTCAAGAAGTTTGTTAGATGAGTCACGAGACCTGTGGGTGAGTGCCGCTGGGTGAAAGTCCTTGTCTCAATGAGTCACGTACCGCCGTCAGTAGGCTTCACATCTAGTTCCTCTTCCCAGCTCCTTCATGCTGCTTAGAAGATATCAGCCCGGTTTAAGACGTTACGTTCTGGAACGCTGCGATCGGGCGTGTTTTCATTGTCTCTGATGATTTGCATGCTGTAATGTTACGATAGCAACTAATTAATGTTAAATATTGGAACGTTTCGATCGCCACTTACTTTTCTTTATCTCTAAAGTACTGTATCTCCAACTATAGATGGAATCCCCAACTATAGATGGGGTATCCGGCGATCCCAAAAGGTTACGTCATTTAAAGGTTGGGAGCCCCTGAATAATAAATATATAATGAACAAATGGCAAAATTTTGTAGCCTCAACCCCAAACATTCAATCTCAATGATTTCGTGAAGGGGTAAATAGGACCTCTACTCCCCTTTCAGAAGGGCGTGGGGAGCCATCCCTGATCCTCCTATGACGTCCCCCTATACCCACCAGTCACCTTACAAAGTTTGGTGAAGTTATAGCAGCCCGTATATAAGAGTTTGTCCTCCAACCTTGGACACCAACGACATTAGAAGAGTGTTGACCAAACCACACTAGAAGGTGAAGGGACGACGACGTTTCGGTCCGTCCTGGACCATTCTCAAATCGACTTGAGAATGGTCCAGGACGGACCGAAACGTCGTCGTCCCTTCACTTTCTAGTGTGTAGTCTGGTCAACATACTTCAGCCACGTTATTGTGACTCATCGCCGACATTATTAGAACTTTAAGAGTCCCAGAATCTTGCAGTTACCACCCTGAAGCCATCAACACTGCCACTCAAAGAAGAAGGTGTCCAGCAGAGAGATACTCTCATAAATACTGTCAAGCAGTATCCTCCCCCGCGATAGCAGCCACATAGTAAGGACTGACGATATAAATGTGCTCTTTGCACACAGTACTGTATATCCTTTCACGACCAAAGATCACATTCAGTCCAAAAAATCTACCACTTACGGGCTATTCATGTCCGTGCCACCTCTTGGGTGGCTTAATCTTTATCAATCAATCGACCTTGGACAAACAGACAGGCACTTTCTTTTTATATATATAGAATGCTATGCAACGAAGATTAAAAACACTGAGCTTAAAAGTATGCATGAAACCCACAGTGAAAATGGAAAAGACAACTAAGTTGTATTTTCCATTTTCATTGTGGTTTTCCAGCAAATAGAATGTTATATATCTTGGAACGTTTCGGTCGGGCCAAGCTTGTTCCCACCCCCAAACCAGAGTGACAATGTACAGAATACTTAGTAATGTGCAAAGTGCATGAGCAATCTCTCAGTATAAAATTCCTTCTATACAAATGCCAGAAGCCTAATAAATAAATTTGCCTAAATTTTTTAAATTTTGCCTAATAAATTAAAATTTCAAATAAATTGTGTGCATACATGGAGGCCAAGAAACCCGACATCATTGGCATCAGCGAAAAATGGAGACGAGAGTTCTAATTGAAGAGAAATTCCATCTTTGAGGATATAACAACCACCATTCAGAAAGGACAGAACAACATGAGCAGGTGGGTTAATTCTGAATGTAAAAAAAGAGGACCTGAATGCAACCAACAATGAAGAATTGAACACCATGGGATCCTCGGAATCTGTATGGTGCAACATACTAGCTCAAAATGGTTTACGTACCCTCCGTCGTGTTGTAGGGGGTACTGAAGTCACTACAATGGTAAAAATCTGACAGGGGCGTATGCTATAGAGCTGACATAGCAACAGCAGTGTGTTGCTAATCAAAATTAAGTTTTTCCCCAGGGTTAGGTACTTCACTGTGGTTAAGCTCTCCCCTGGGATAAATCCCTCTAAATTCTTCCCTATAGTTAAATTCTTTCATACAGTTAAGTTATTTCCTAGGATTAAATTCTCTCATAAAGGAAGAAAGGGTCTCTTCCTCAGGGTCATGTTTTTCTCCTGGGTTAAGCTCTTTCCAAAGTCATGTTCGTCTCCATGACCCTGTAGAGGAACTTTACCCTGGGTCATGTTCTTCCCCATGGTTGAATTATTCCCCCAGGGAATATCTCTGTGCTGGCTGGATAACAATGCCTGAAGCGAAGATTTAGTCGGTATAAATGATGACATCTTCTAAATTGTTCTCAATTAACGCCCATTGACTGTTCTTGTCTTAAATAGTCCAGATCTATCCTTGCTTAACCCACTGGTTTCTATACATACAGTATATATATAGCCATTATGTCACTCTATATTCTACGTACTTGGCTCACCAGACTTCCGGAATGTCAATACGCAGGGATAGAACAATTCAAGGACCCCCAACGTGCGGCCTTCATGAAGAGTAGTTCCACAGATGAAAATACACAAATATTATTTAATCTACCTCTTACCAAACAAAAAGTAGACTTTTATTTTAAAGTAGGTCTTTTATAGATATGGACAATCACCTTTTACCGCATTCTACAGGTAAACTTTTTCTGTCCACAAACACTTTAGTTTACACACACAACTGTAACCTGTAAACACGCAAATTCGTCCATACTTATATTCGCATTATACTCTTACACACACACACACACACACATATATCTTAGATGTTTGCCATCTTTCAAAAATATTAAATTAGAAGAGTACGACAGCTTGCTGAAATCCATGCTAGAAAAAGCCCAAAACCTTTCTCTCAGCGACTCACATTGAAAACAGGCCTCCCTTCCTGTCAAACTCGGGCCTTGGCGTACCCACAACAACACAAATTGCTATACCAGCGTTCCTGTCCTCTTCAGTGGCGTCTGACAACTTGGTGAAGGAAATCCTACCTGAGCACCTAGTTCAACGGGCAGGGGTACATGACCCCAGCTTCACAGACCACAACTAAATGGGTCTCTCTCGCAGGGCCAGCACCCCAACCACCGCCTCCTGAAACCCATAAGCAATGCAGCTGGGATCGCCCCATTCCCGACCAAGAAGCTGCGACAACACCACATGACACTGCCCAACTTAAAGAGCTGTAGCAGCTCCCCATGCAGGTGACTTCCTATTAGCAACCCCCAATGTCAGCAACCGGCACCCATCTTACACCACAGGCCCTCCACATTGTTGTGGCTCTCCGCCTTGCTGCCCCAATCCACACCGAATACAGGTGCATTTGCAGCGAGGCAGTGGCCGACAGGTACGGACGGCATGGCCTTCTCTGCCAAAGGACAGGAGGATGGCATCTAAGGCACGGCGAGGTTAATGACATTATTAAGAGAAGCCTTACCACAGCCAGTTGTCCAGCAGAGAGAGAGCCCTGTTACCTCTGATAAGCCTGTGGGAAATCTGATGAGCCATAGCATTTCGGGCAAGTCCTTAATCCTATGTTCTCTGGAATATGATCCACCAAATCGTTAAACCACCAGGTACCCATTTTACTGTTGGGTAAACAGAGGCTACAGTTAAAGATTGATGCCCAGTAAATCCTACCCGGGCCAGGATACGAATCCAGGACAAAGTGTTCGTGAAACACCAGGCGAGTGTCTTACCACTTCACCACAGGGACTGTTTGTAATTCATAATGCAATACAGTTATAATTTGGGAATATTCTGTTTAGGACAAGTTCATATAGATTATTATTGGAACCTTATTAAGTCTTAAGAGCATCACTAATATCTAGATAAATATCGAGGTGTTTAACCAGGGAGGTTGATCATTCATTAGAATTACTTACCTTAAGAACGGTCTGTATTTTTTTAGTAAGACTTTCATTACAGTACAGCACTGTATTATTATTAGTAGACTATTTGGGATCAATTGTAGCTAAGAAAATGTAAGCAGAATATTGCATAAAGGATGATAATGTCTTTGGAATGAGCACTTATTGTGAGAGTGGGGAAGGAGTGTGTGGAAGGAAAATGTGTGTTGGGAAGAAGAGAGAGATGTGGGGAGGAAAGAAAGGAGCGTTCAATATAAACCAGTACAGTATATTATATATATACTGTACTTGGTCATATATACTGTATATATATATATATATATATACACACACACACACACCCTTACAATGCAATTTCTAGGGACAAACCTGTCAACTGAATAACTCAAAACTTCAAGATTATTTAAAATCATGCCAACAGTATTAGAAACTTTAGATTTTATTGTTACTTTGATTAACTTCATTTAAGGGCCCAAATCAAGTTTATTCTTCAAGATGGTTTTCAGATACAATATATTTTTATATTAGTTTAAAAAAAACATATGACTAATTAAACCTTAAAAAAATAAATTCAAAGGTTTTACAAATATTACTGCACAGTCATATTTTTTAGATAAAGTTCAATAATTGTGATAGCAAACAAATTAGAAAAGTTGCCTAATAATAAAATTTTCAATTAATTTTAATATTTTTATTCAAAAAAATCTCATTATTAACAAAAGTGTTTTTCAAAATACTAGTACCTCTTAGAGAATTGTAATGCCCCCTGTTGTTTATAATTACATTTCAAATTTAATCAAATTAACAACTTTTAGTCTAGGAATAAAAATAAAAGAACTGGGGTTCGAGAGTTGAAGTGTCCTAACAAAAATCCTCAACAGTATCCGTTTTAATTATATAAATCACTTTGCGGACACTAAATCACAATAACGTGGCAGAAAATTAGACACCCAACCCACAATTAAAAATGAAGGAATTGGCAATCTTTTGATCCATCCTGGACTGAAATAGTCACTCCCTTTATTTTCAGATGTATAGGTTGGGTGTCTAATAGCTTACGTTGTACATAACTTCCCATATGACTTGTATATACTGTACAGTACTGTAATCTACTGTAATCTATATAGCTTTAAGAGAAAAATTGTACAAATACCAATTGCCTTCAAATTAAGCTCAAAATATAGCTAATAATCTAGGCTAATGGCAATAATAATAATAGTAAAAATGCTAAAAATATGAATTGGGCCTCTTAAGTGAGTACCCATTATAATTTGTTTTTAGCAAGAGCTTCTATCTTTACGATATGAACTGCTTCTTCAAACCAAAGAATAAAATCTGTAGCATACAAATGGGAAGCATCAAGAAAAGCATGATTATTAACCATTTACAGCACACAATAAATTATTGTAATATAGATATGGAATTATTTAATTATGTCTTCATGAAATATTTGGAAGCTCACACCACTCTTGTTTTAAATATTTGTCCCAAAACTGATTTTGGTAAAGTACTGGTAGCCAATATGGGAAGAAACACAATAAGGTGCGAATAGTAGCGGCACTATCACCACCCCTCTCTAGAGCTTTTAACAACGCACTCTGAACAACGAATAACTGTGAATAATTTTGAAAATATTTTGCTCCTTGCCCAGTAGTTACTGGTAATGTTAATAGGTAAACAAAATGCTGCATATCTGTAGGGAAGAATTCATATAATTCTCTGTTCACTTTAATTAAAAGTTCTGCAAAATAGTCTCTGCATCCAAATATACAACTTAGTGAATAATTGGTCTCTGCAACAATTTTAAAAAGAATCTTTAAACCTAAGGTAAATACAGAATGGCTATGAGCTGCTGCACATATCACAGGAGAGTTTGCCCAAAAATTAATTTTATTACATTGTGACTGACTTTTACTGTCAGGCTGTGTTCTATTTGTCTGAATGTCACGAGATGAATCTTCGCCAAAAGATTCACCATGTGATTTGAAGTAAGCTATGCTTAATGTTACATCGTTGCACCAATCGCCTTTGTACACAGCTGCATACTGAGTGAGAACACGCAGCATTTCTCTTTCTAGTGAAGAGGGATGCTGTTTGTAGAGCATGACACTAACTTCTATAGGGAGATATTTCTTGTTAGACAACCCTTCTTCAAGCTTATTCCATACTGTACTACTTCTGGAAACGTAATAAACAATATTAAAGTTTACTATTGAATCATGTATAAATAAACACCAGCATGTATTAGCCGTGCCTGAAATACTAAGTACAGTTTACTTTAACCTATAAATAAAAATATAATCCTAATTTTGTGTACAGCATCCTTTCATTATTAAATTTTGTTGCCATTTGGATGCAAACCAAGAGCAACAAGTTAACTGGATATTGTATAACACAGTCTAAGTGTTTCTAACAAGAAATAAAATGTATGAACTACAGTATTTAAATTTGCACAACTTAATATATTGGGCATGCAAAACATAAATTATATTTTCCAGTCATCTAATCAAGGGATGCTTGAAAATGTCAGTGCTGTTGTTAATTGTCATACCTTCCTGACTACAAAATTTGATACCCAATGACATAGCAGGGTCATACATATGAGAACATGGCAAAACATTAAGGTATTTTTAACAGGAATACAGTACATAATTCCACTTACAGGGGAAGTGACTGGAGAAGCTGGGAACATCCCTTAGAATTATGAGGCAATGCAAAGCACAAGTTTGGAAGAATATCTTCCAAATAGTTTGATGACAGAGCACTTTTCTTATCACAATTTTCCAGCACCTGGACAGTCACATCTAATAAATGTGGCAGAGGTATATGCTGAGCCCACAAGTCACACTCTTGAGATGACCTCAAATCCTATTCAAGAAAATGTTGAGTAAATATTGTTGCCACATTTTGCTGGAATCCAAAGGTATTTCTCGGTAGTTTTGCTCATTATATTTAACTATTAAAGCGTGCATAAAATATACAATTTATAAAGACAATATCTTTGATCAAATTGATTCTTGTACACAACTCATCTACTTTGTTGGTTAACTTACCATTTTAATTTGAGGTATCTGTGAACACCACAAGCCTTTGTGTAGTAACTAGCTTAAAATTTTTATATACTGTAGCTGAAAGCTACAGTACTAACTAGCTGAAAGTAAAGTACTTACAATTAATATGCTAAATAAGAAATTAGTTATATATTCACAGCTGATTAAGTCTAGCAGAGCTATTTACCCAGATTTTCCTTGGTGTCTTTTTTGTCTGGAGGAGTCACCTTTTGATAGGGACCTGGTTTAAGGGTGGTCATCGTTTAATCCCTTAGTGAGGGATTAAAGTTGATCAGGTGATCAACTGGGAACCAAGGCCACCTGAGGCCAGCACTGGGGAGTTGAGAGAGGGTAGAGAAGCTGGAGATACTCTAGGTATCCACAAAAGCAGTACCATACAAAAGAATAAAACTGTCCAACCCGGATGGCTGGGAAGAGTAGATTTCGAAGTGTGTAGCAGACCAGTACCAGTAAACAACTCTCCCCAGAGTATGTTGTTGTAGAGTTAGGGATGGCTATAGCACAGGGCCATATGCATCCCAATGTTCCCATGAGTTGGGGAAAAACTCAGAAGCAAGGAGGCTAAACAGCGGGGTAAAGAAAATAAAAAAATTACTGCACCCTCCTGCAAAGAACTGCAAAATGCACCACATGGCAGGGGCTCAGTGAAACACAGTCGTCCCACAGGAGACCAAGAGTCAGTACGCACCCAACACAGAGCCAACTGGAAAACAGTCTATCCACACCCGGGGACCCCCAGTACCCACACCAGTGGGTACCCGAATAAGTCAAAGCCAAACGACCCGAAGGCACGAAAGCCCCCAATACTCTAAACCAAATGTGCAAAATTTCATCTTCCAGTGACCCACCAGCAGAGCAATGACCAGCTGTCACCACCCCTGTGGGAACATGAGGAGCCCACCAAGACCCGGCACCTATCGGCCAAGACACCGACGGGCAACTCCCCTCCCGAAGTACCAGCCAGAAAACAGGAAAACAAAATATCTATCATCTTCCCTGAGACCCCTGGTGATAAGAGCGTCAGGTGTCAAAAGCGGGCTGTTGAAGAGGAATGCCAGACAGCGGTATGGCGACCCAAAGGACAAATAATGTTGTGTTAACCGGCGGCGTCCAGGCGGAACAGCTGTTCAGACGTCCACTCCTCGCCAAGGTTGACCCAGTAGTCCTAAACCCAGCTCACAAAATTGCGAGTTTCAGGTACATTATGTTTTGTAGTCATCCTATTTATTTCTTGAGTGTAAAATATTTAAATAAATAAATATCTGTTAAATATAAATTCAAGGATTGAGCAACGTACGATATATATAGTATTAATAAAATATATGTCTTCATGATATTCACTGTAGCACGACCTGTACTTAGAGTCTGGAGTGACACCAAATTCAAAACATCGCGGCCGCCTTCAAGACTATCTCAGGGAACCCGTCGCCCTCTCCTCATACTCTCACGTGACGGCCTCCACACCTCTTTACAACTCAACTTTTCAGCTCGTGTGTGAGCTGCACAACTCGCACACGAAGTAAGAGCGGGTGTCACTTAATATCATACAGTCCCCGTAATTAGAGATGGCCAGGACAGCACAGGTACAGGGGGAGGTGGTCAAATAGTACACAAGACCTCCACAAAGCTCACTTGCTGTCCAAACCCCACATAGATACTGGTAGCTTTAGGCTCGGTTACTGCTGGATAAAGTAGATTTTTAAAATACTTGGCGGCTACATGTATTAGGTTATGTTAGGTTTATTTAAGTTGGATTAGTTTGGTACGTTAGATGATTTTTAGTGTAAATCATAAAATGAGATTTTGGTTTATCTTTATCACTAAAATGCATAGGAAAAGTGTTCCCAATAATTCATAAAAATACTAAAAAGCAGTGTGAAAAGCAATATAAGATTTAACAATAATTTTGTTGATTTTCTGTATATTGTAATGAATATACATGTACTGTGTCCATGAAACGGCTCCAAGTTGCACTGAATTGTTGACATGTGCAATAAAAACATACCTTTTCACTTAATATCTTAGGTTAGGATGGGGAAAGTTTGGCAGGTTTCCCAATCTGTTGCAACTACTGTACAAGTATTATTAGGTTACATTACATTAGGTTTATTTAGGTTAGATTAGTTCGTTAGATGGTTAGTTAAGTTTATTAAAGTACAGATTTCTGACCGATCATCAATTTTTCTTTCCTCGATTCTTTGGCTGCAACAGTCAATGAATGTTTCAAATTTATAACAATTGCTTTAATGTTTTGATGCATTGGGCTACATCCCTGAGAATTGGAAGTTATACTGTAGCTTGAACAGAGTTGAGCCTGAGTGTGAATGAACTCTTCATACTGTATTTCCATAAATATAAAAAAAACTATTTCTGTAAATATGTCAGACAATTTGTAATGAAAAAATACCTGTACTGTAAATTTTCATTTATTATCTTTGCCACTGTGGTATTATTACCCCATGCACTATCTCCCTGCTCAAAGGTTCACCAGTTCCTGGTTGTGGGGCGTTGTCTTCCTTTCTTTCTGCACCTGGCATTACAGCTTCCTTGTCTGCAGCATCTGCTCTTTCATGTGTGTGCATGTTTGTGGCAGTCTTGCTGGCACTTCAGTGCATCTGTCTCCAGCATGGCTTTGCTCTATGTCTTTTGAATTACACCATTACCATTTTGAGGCTTCCTAAAGGGAAAATGGGCTGTTAAGTTGGGTTCCTTCCTCTGTGGGGCTGGTCTTTGAGGGTAGCCTTGCTTCTGGATTTTGGGCTTTGGTCCTTAGTTCTGTTCTCTTTCACTGCATGTTGACCTTTCTTGCAATCAGTCTCTTTCCTTTCCATCTGTTTTAGTGGCATGAGAAATAATGATGGGGAGGTCTCTTACCTCAGACTTTGGATTTCATTTGGCTGTCTATGGGTGGGCCTGTTTACCACTCTGTGGTTCTACCAGCTTCCAATTTATGGAGTGCTGCTTGTGAATTGTGCACCATTTGTGGAGGGTGTGTTTCACCTAGCTTGGGAATGGCAAGCTTATGTGTTCCTATTTCTGTGGCCCAGCTGCTGCTGCTTTCATTTCCTAACAGGATCTCGTGTGGCCAGTTTTGCCCAAGTTAATAGTCCTCCTCGCTGTTGTTTAGACCCTTCCCCTCCCTGTGTGGTTCTTTGACTTTCCTTAAGGTTTGGCAGCAAGGTCTGTCCCCTCGATAATTTGTTGCTCTGCCCATCTCCAAGTATGCAATTTTTTGGCCTTGGCCCATAGATCCAGACTACTAAGGTTTGAATTAGTGAGTTGTTACTGTAATTGTTAAGTAATTTTACCAATGCATACAGTACCAGTACATGGTAAAAAAATTTGTTTTGAGCGTCATGTAATTTTATTTTAAATCTCATTTACAGATGGCTACATCAATAGAAACCTTAACTAGCACCATTTTAGCAAAGATTGGGGCCTCATCGCTAACAGAGATGGCATCAATCATACCAAGTGCTCTGACCACAGGTTTGTACCTTGTGTATCACTCATGCTAGTTTTCACTTTTGCAGTACTAAGTATACTGTATATGCGTGAAGACTCGTAAATGGCATTATTGTTATATAAATTAAGTATACATGGACATATACTTTAGATACAAGTTTGTTACTTCTAGCAGTGCTAGTAGTATCAAACTCACCCACCAAATACACCAAATTGGTGTACACCAAATTTAGTGTACTTGCACCAAAAAGTTCATGTGAACGGGATAACAGCAGTATCTGTATATGGGAAGAGAGTAAACATCATTTAAGAATCTAACTAAGGAAGTTTCAAGTCTGCACACACTGCCTATATGAGTCCATTATTTGAGTATGAAGCACCAGCATGGAACCCACATCTTGTGAAGCTCAGAAAAGAAACTTGAGGAAGTTTAAAGGTTTACAACTAGATTAGTACCGCCTGAGCCCAGAGGAGGACTCGGCTTGCTCTGGTACAACTTCATTTGGTTTATACTGTTTAGTTATGGTCATCATTCTACAGAGTGCACATGAGCTCTTTAGAAAGTATATGACAGTGAGAGATGCTAAAGCTTATTTCCACCATCAGGAATTCTTCTTTACAAAGATAAATTGACTGGCATGAACCCTTTTAACTGCTACTGCTATTCTCAAATGATAGACCATGGTGCTCCTGTTGTTTGTAAATGATTTATTATTTCTCTGAGTTAATATTCAGAGTTGCTAAATATTCTATGTGGTTCTCATTCAACACTAGAGACCTCTGGCAATCATTTGCCATGTTGGGAAGAAATCCTGAAAGCCTTGGCTACCTTCTTGGGCATTATTAAAAAATTGGCACTATTTCAGGTGCTTCACTGTTCATTTACTGATACCTATGCTCAGTAACATTGACACTGCAAAATTTCAAGGACTTTAGTTACAAAAATTGCATACTGATGAGTGAAAATTTATTTGCAATGGAGTTGTGAATGGATGGAATAATTTAAATGTATAGAAGTGTAGTTTAAATGTCTTGAATAAGTTAGACAGTTAAATAGATTAAAAATGAATGGGTGAAAGTAGTTTCTTCTGCTTTGCATAGGACAGTAGGCCTACTTCAGTGTTATCTTGTTCCTATATTACTTATGATCAACCTGTACTGTGTGCCATTTTTGGTGCTCTTTCAATAAGCTGTGCCCCTCATACTCATGTCTTGGAATATATTTTCAATGTCTGATAATACAAACCTTGTGAAAAGAATACTGTATAAGAGAAATTGCATTATAGTTTATACAGGTATTGTTTAAATGTGTACCGTTGTCTTTGGCAGATGTCAATATTATGGCAGGTAGAAGGGAATTAGAGGAAGGGAAAATGGAGGATGCCTTCCACCAGTTGTCCCTTTCACATTCAACGCTGCTCCACCATCGCATGGCCCAGCGACTCCACAAGCCCAGGTTAATATTTTCTATTATTTTTTTCAAATGTTCCACATCATGCGCAAGCTGAAAGTAGGTAATGAGTGACCATAGTCACCAAGATGTATTGGGAAGGCCCAAGGAAAGGAAGTTGTCAAAGGAAACAAATTAACAGTAGGTATAGGCAGATGAAGAAATAATTATTTCTTGTGACCAGGTTCTTACAATCGGTTGCCATCTCTCTCGTGGTTTATTTCGATTAGTAATTATTTGGCTTGTGTGCATGCTAATTTAAGATTTTAAGTCATATTTTTTTATTTGTATGAGTATTCATAGGCTACATTTCATGAGGAAGGTATCAAGATCATATATTTAACCAACGACCATTGACCTGCAGTCTAGGTAACAAAGAAGGTGAAGAAAGTGGAGATGTCATTACTCGTGACACCCTGGAAGATGAGAAAGTTACATTATCCACCACTGCCAAGGATGAAACTGTGAACCATCTGCGGAAGCTTCCTTCAGGTTAGTCTTATTATCAATCCATATATACAAAGAGTACTGGGAAGATGGGACACCACAAGCATAGCTCTCATCCTGTAACTACACATAGGTAATTACACTTGGATAATTATATACATTAATGCTTACACACGTGCACTGTACATGCAAATAGAATGTATACAGGTGTACTTTTAAATTACTTTAATCCCAGAAAAATATACTACATTTCATAATCTGTATTTCAGAGTGGACAGTAGTTCAAATGACAACTCAGAGCGTGGGTGAGCATAACTTTCAGAAGATTGGCTCCCACCCTCCCACGCCTGGGTTATACATATCCCGCTGCACATGTGGTCCGCTCCCGACCATAACTGTCCAGGTATGTAACTGACTCTGAATCATTGGAAGACCAGTTGCTGTAAATTATTGTTTGGTAAATGTAGGCACGATGATCTGCATTAAGATTACGAGATGCAAATCAAATTTAAGTGGTGGATTCTCTTATGTTATGTTGTAATCTACCTTGAAGTAATTCCTGGGATCACTGTCCCTGTTACCCGGTCTCTAACCAGGTCTCCTGTATGACAGCCTGACCTGCTAGATGGTTGTGTCTGTTTTCAGCACAGCTCTGCATATCAAGAGCTCTCTCTAGGTATATGACAAGTTGTCTCATGTATATAGTATAGGTTTGTTGATAATTTCTCTTAACTTTAAAGAGGAGTAATGAAAAGCCTTGAATCATTATTTTTTAGTTATCTCTTAGTTGTACATAATAATTTTAATAATAACTTATTCACAAGAAGGTACAATGGGTTGTTGAGATTACATAAGATTGGTATTTTTACATTTTTGCAAAGCCACTAACATGCATAGCATTTCTGGCAGGTCACACATTACCCTGTAGTTGTCACTGGGGCAGTGGTGCACCTTCTACCAAGCCCTTTACTCTTGTAAGGAATTTTTCTTTCAGTATACATATTTGGAACCAGTATTTTTTAAATGCAGATTGTGCTGCATTGAAGGAAATACAATTAAAGGATTTCTTAATGTTCCCCAAGACTGTTCTCTATACATTCTTAAGGTCAGCAATTTATAGTCTTTAAAAGAGTAGGTAATATACAACATTATTCTAGACTAGAGAGTGCAAGTGCTTTAAGAATATCATTATTGGTCTGGCATCTTTTTCTGTGGGGAAGCCCTGGAGGCTTCCTGGAGCTATCCGGTTAATATGTGTTTTATTAGTCTGGGGCATCAGTCAATTGGACTTCAGCTTACCGAGGACCACGGGCCAAAACCTGGCCCCCTCCGAGAGGGAAAGGGAGCAAGGGCCTATGGAAACCCTCATTTATTTGGAGTCATTCCATGTCTGCCATTGACCGGGGGTTGGCACCCAGGAAGGTAGGCCTAACAAAACAGACCCCCCACATGGTAAGAAAATTGCAACCGAAGACCTAACAAAGAAGCAGACCTCCCCCTACTTAAAGAAATAAGCAAACACCGCGCTCCACCACCGCGGCACTTGTCCACACAGCCCTCCCCTCCCCGGAAGGGGGAGGGGAAAATTTGAGCGTGTTGTACTGGGGCTGCATGTGCTTAGGGTTTTCTTCCCTAGGCACCCCTGTAAATGTCTAAGGGTCTGCTGTTGCATGTTCGGGGTTTTTGTACCCCCCTTCCTTGTACAAATTTGATATGGGGTCAGCTTCTGGGTTCCCTTGGGTTCTGCGGCTGCGGCCTTCTGGAGGTTTTCGATCTCTCGACTTTCCCCTGTGGAGGTTTGGGAAGCCGTAGGTTCATACCTCCTGCTCGACCCAGCTTCCGCCTCAGTGTTCGACCCAGTCTCTATTGAGTTCGGGTCTTCTTTGTTGTATTGGATACGTTACATGATATTGAATATGGATACGTGATGCCCAGCCTGTTCATACAGTGGTTATTGGTTCGGACATAAGAGAGATGGGTGTCGATTGCATATTCGCAGCTCTGACTTTTGGATCTTAGGATCTTTTATATTATACTCCCTGTATAGTATAAAATTTGCTGTGAATTACAATGATGTTCATTTAACCAAAATGCTTTAGGCCAAGCAGTGTTCAGATTAACATATGTTCAGTGTGAAGATATTGTAATTGTACCCCAGAAAAGTACAGTAATGTTTAAATTGGTGCTCTTTATTTAATTGTAGTTATGTGTAATACAGTATTATATAAATATTTTACTATGTTCTGAATATGAATGTGTTAAAGCTATTTATTTCATTCATTACTAAGGCAGTGGCAGCACCTAAAGACAAGGGAGTACGAGGTATCAGGCAGGAGGTGGAGCTTATCAAAGAAGAAAACAAAATTATCAGCAAGGACTACCGTGACCAGCAGCAAAAATACTTCACTAAGAGAGAAGAACTGAATAACAGGCTTAAGGTAACCTTTCTTTACAAGTTCAGGCAGTCATACAGAAGTGCTCAGTTTTTTTCATACTTCACTGGTAAAGTATTGTTTTCATGTGTCATAACCCCTCTTTCTCACTTTCCTGGGGGTGTGGTGGCATCATCTTTAGAGATAAAATGTGACTATTATTATATAATGAAAGAAGGTGATAGATATCAGAAAGGTAAGACATCACTTGTCCATCCCTTCCTCCCTCTACCTCCCTTTCTATTTCCTCCTCACCCCTTCCTTCCTTATACTTTCTTTCCAGCCTTTCTCTCGTACTCCTTCCCTCCAGTTCACTCTTTGCAAGTCTACCTTCATTCATTCAATCAGTATGCCCACACTACCTCTTTACACTCTTTAATTTGCAGTTTATTAATTTTTGCTCCAATGTTCTCCATGAGATAGTACAGTATTTGATATACAGTAATAATTCATTTTGTTGGGGACAAGCAGCCTGTGTATGTATATATGTTAGGCTTATATTGAGGTCCCCCCCCCCCCATGGTCAAGCTAGTGACCCTCCCCAGGATGCAACTCCACAACAATTGATAACTCCTGGGTAGCTATTTAATGCTAGGTGAGCAGAGGCATTAGGTGATAGAAAAGTGCCTAACCATTTCTGTCCTGCCCGGAATTCGAACCCCAAATTCCTATTGTATGTTGAGAATGAACCCAACTGTACTATTCTATCTTCTCTTATCACCAAACAGGTTCTTTATATTACTAATTTATACTCCCTAACTTGTGATTTTTCATGTTTATATCACACGACCATCTCTCAACCATGCATGAGGGTTGACTCTTCCACGCATTCATGCATTCATCTTGTCCTCTTTTGCTTTTTCTAACCAGAGCTTTTATTGCATGAGCCACTTTCCTTCCCTGGCTGACCCTACTCTCAAATTACAGCTGTGCGGATTCCTTAGATATTCTTCAGTCACACGTCTTGCATATTTAAACAGATGAACCACTTCCAGAACTGTACCATTCATGTTCATTTCACACACACGCATGCACACACACACGCATGTGCACACACACACACGCATGCACACACACACACACGCTTGCACACACACACCAGTGATGTTTATTGTGTACATAAATGATCTACCAGTTGGTATACAGAATTATATGAACATGTTTGCTGATGATGCTAAGATAATAGGAAGGATAAGAAATTTAGATGATTGTCATGCCCTTCAAGAAGACCTGGACAAAATAAGTATATGGAGCACCACTTGGCAAATGGAATTTAATGTTAATAAATGTCATGTTATGGAATGTGGAATAGGAGAACATAGACCCCACACAACCTATATATTATGTGAGAAATCTTTAAAGAATTCTGATAAAGAAAGAGATCTAGGAGTGGTTCTAGATAGAAAACTATCACCTGAGGACCACATTAAGAATATTGTGCAAGGAGCCTATGCAATGCTTTCTAACTTCAGAATTGCATTTAAATACATGGATGGCGATATACTAAAGAAGTTGTTCATGACTTTTGTTAGGCCAAAGCTAGAATATGCAGCTGTTGTGTGGTGCCCATATCTTAAGAAGCACATCAACAAACTGGAAAAGGTGCAAAGACATGCTACTAAGTGGCTCCCAGAACTGAAGGGCAAGAGCTACGAGGAGAGGTTAGAAGCATTAAATATGCCAAAACTAGAAGACAGAAGAAAAAGAGGTGATATGATCAATACGTACAAAATAGTAACAGGAATTGATAAAATCGACAGGGAAGACTTCCTGAGACCTGGAACTTCAAGAACAAGAGGCCATAGATTTAAACTAGCTAAACACAGATGCCGAAGAAATATAAGAAAATTCACCTTCGCAAATAGAGTGGTAGACGGTTGGAATAAGTTAAGTGAGAAGGTGGTGGAGGCCAAGACCGTCAGTAGTTTCAAAGCGTTATATGACAAAGAGTGCTGGGAAGACGGGACACCACGAGCGTAGCTCTCATCCTGTAACTACACTTAGGTAATTACACTTAGGTAATTACACACACACGCATGCACACACACACACACGCATGCACACACACACACGCATGCACACACACACGCACACACACACACACACACACACACACACACACACACACACACACACACACACACACACACACACACAGATAGACAGTTTCCTTCTCTCTTCACAATAGTACCTGTACCATAGATTTATTTTTGTCCCCTTTCACATTTAAAGTTGGGGCCAGACGGCTATGTGGACAGCGCTTGGGGTTCATTGTCCTAAGGGTCCGGGTTCGATCCTCGGCGGAGGCGGAAACAAATGGGCAGAGTTGCTTTCACCCTGATGCATCTGTTTGCCTAGCAGTAAATAGGTACCTAAGAGTTAGACAGCTGCTATGGACTGCTTCCTGGGGATGTGTGTGTGAAAATTAGGATTAAGGACTTCCCTGAAACACTATGCATGCTAGTGGTTGTACAAGAATGTATGAACTCTTGTACAGTACTATATATAAATAACAAAAATAATAAAAAGTTTTCTTTCACACTTCAATAAATGGTGCAACTGGTCTACATAATAAAGATAACCTCTAAAAAACTGTATCATCTGCATACGTCAAATTGTTATACGTTATTAGTTCATATTTGGTGTATTCATTAGGTTTACACATTTAACATTCATACTTTGACCTTCCTCATACTGCCATCCATATACAGTACATATTGAATCACGAAGGTAACATTACACATTGTGTAATGTTACCTTGGTGACATTAATATCCTTTCATTAATATAAAGCCCATCGCTCATTACTCCATTAACTCTTATACATTTACTACTTCTGACATAAAGGTATTTAATAGAATTTGGCCAACTCCATAAATGCTCCTCACTTGTCATATATTTTTACAATATCCCTAAAGGAATGTTCACCTTACAGACCTTACATACATTCACTAAAAGCAGTCTCAGTGTAAATATCTGATCTATACACCCTCTTTCATCACGAATCCCACCTTGTTCATTGCTGATCAGTTTTCAATAATATTCAATAATCCTTCAATTACTATCTTGACAAACTTCCTGCTACACTTAGTAAACTAATGCCACTAATACTAGTACAGTATTATGTTTGCATTATTGTAATTTCATTCCATAAAGTCATGTGTATAACAGCATTTACTCTAGATATTGTATACAGTTTTTTTTTATTCAATGCAGTGTGTAGTCAGGAGTATGGAGGTGGCTTGGCTACGACATTGGTCCTGTTTGCTAACAGGCTCTCTTGACATTCGTGACCAACTCCTTCTGGAAGAGAGCACCACTCGTATACTTGCTAATTGCAAGATTTCCCTTACAGACACACAAAAGCAACTGTTGCAGGTGAGAAATTTCTTAATGAATATGTTATATATTAAAGACATTGTTCACCTCTTTCTCCTCATTTTTCTGTAATAAGTCTTCAGTTGCCCTTCTATCTAGAGACTACCAAGGACTCTGTTCTTAAATGATGTTCTCACCTGCATTTCTCCCCCCCCCCTAGTGTCAACAAACTTTACACATTGTCTTGTCTCTTAGTTGGTTTTATTTATTTTTTTGTGGTTTTTAGATCCCCTACATTTCATTTGCCTCTGTTAGAATGCCAGAATCTGGTCCTGTGTATTTGGTCAGCCTTAGATAGTAATCAGAGACTTCATTGTTAATAACAACTTTAATGAATCTATGCCTTAGCTAAAAGCAGCCACTGAGGGTTTCATGCAGACAGTAGCATTCCAATACACTCAGTGCTCTAGTAATTATAGTAGGTTATAATCAGCACTCTAGGTTATTATTGTTGTTCATACGGTTATAAACATTATTTCAGTATGTTTTGCATTTCTTATGTGTTACTGTATCATTATTTGGCTTAAGATGAGCTTGATCTAATAGGAGTATTGTGTGTAATCTTCTCTATTGAACTCTAATGTAAGTTCTTGCAAACCAAAATAATTGTAAACGTCTAGACACTTGCTAATAAAACAGTAATTATAACAAAATCTATATGATGTGCTTTAGCAGACAAAATTACTTAAATTGTAAAATAAAATATTAATCTTTAGTGTATTCACATGTTTTACAGTGCATCATTACCTGTCCAATACCACCAGAAAAGACTACAGGCTTCGAACTTGGCATGAACATCAATGTGCGTGCAAGCATTGCAGCTTTGTTCCATGAATCGGTGAGAAGTGAGCGTATCAAAGATCTTTATGCAGCCATTCAGAAAGAGGAAGGAACTTTGAGTCGATTGCAACGAGCTCAGAGAAATCCAGTTATTCTCATACTGGACAAGGTCATTATTTGTTTATAGTTTGATTATGTGCATATTTAAGCTTTCCTGTAGTCTAACTCTTGTGAAAGTCAGTGAGTTGTTACTGTGTGTGTTAAATGATCGAGCTGAACTCTTTTTAGTTATTTTTTTTTTAAAAAACATTTAAGAGCATCATAAATGTTTCCTACCCAAATACTTTCGTTAGGGTAATTTAAGTTGGAGGAAACCTACCTTGAGGTGATTCAAGGATTCAAGATTCAAGGCTTCAAAACGTAAAGGCTTATAAACATGTGAATGAAGTTTGTGTGTATTGTCTCAGACCATAAGACAATGAATATGTGTGTGTACATTATAGATGCATGATGGTCAATGATTGTGATAAGTGAGGCAGAACCTGATCAAGTTGCTGAAGTGCAAAAATTTTATCAAATTAACTTATCCATATATTCTCTATTATTATAAATTCAACTGGCTGTTTATCAGTGTGTTTCTAAGGCAATTTCCTCTTTCAGAGCATTGTTTCACTACCTTGGGAGATGATGTGGGTGTTACAAGATCAGCCAGTGACTAGGATGCCAAGTCTTCGTATGTTGACCCTGTTGTATCAGGTATGATCTTCAAATGTTTGACATAATTTTAGAAGTTATTTGGTTTTACAGTACAGTACTGATGTGGGTGTATCGTCTGAGTGTGCCCCCCTTTACTTCCAATTCTGCTTTCCAAGCCAGGACCATGAGTGTAGCATGCTAGGCTCTGCTTTACTTGGAGTCCCATCGTACCAAGTAATTTTTCAAATGATCTTTCTTGTTAATACTTTGGGGTCGTGATTACATTTGCGAAGTATCAAAACAATTCACACAGTATATGATATATTACCGGCATCAACAATTAAAATACAGTATTTGTAAAAATTCCATTTATTGTCTGATTATTATGGGACTTATTTTAAAATGGCCGCTGTTCTATTGCCAACAATTTGGTTCCTTAATGAATGACGTAGCTTGGAAAACAGGTCAGAAAACTGGAAAGAGTGCAGTATAAACATTTGAGTGTGACGTAGCACTTATGGGCCACACTTGGTCGACTTTGATCTTAGCTGGGTGGTGCGCGCGCGTCAGGCCTACTTTGAAGTGGCCTGCCGGGCCAGTATCAGGCCAGCCAAAATATTTAGTAGAGAGGCAGTGGAAAGTGTACCTCATTCAACTTTACAGAGAAATTGCTTGCTATAATACCAAAGAGCAGGTCAAACTATACTGGAGCCTGATGTACTAGGTTGACCTGTTTGAACCCATAGCCCTAGGTAGGAAAGCAACCAAGGTTCTGATAATAAAGAAGCATTTCCTAGTAATCAGTGCCATTTTTTCTGTGGAGAGTCCTTCCGGCTCCCCGGAGCTTACCAGGCTGATATGTATGTATTAGACCGTGGCATCAGTCAATTCGATTTGAGTTCTATGCCTACTGAGGACCATGAACCCGAACCTGGCCCACTCAGAGAAGCATGAGGAGCAATGGCCTATAGAAACTCCCATGTGGTTGGAAGCAATCTATGTACCCGGTAACTTCGTTAGCCACAGTAAATAATTATTGGGGATTTTAATTCAGTTGTATAACTAACAACTTTACCCTTATGTTCATATGCGAGATGAAATCGTAGAATCTGAATGAAAAGTGAAGAATTAGAGTAATAGAACTCTATAATTTGTGAATATGTTAAGTGTTAGGAGGATTGAGCAAGAGACAAACATATACACAGTACTGTAATGGTAAGATATGGAATGCAGATATTAGTAACTTATAAGACTGAGAAGAGAGTACTAGAAATGCTTGGTCATGGTGACTGAATAATAGACTAGTGAAGAGTGTATTTAGGTGGTTCTGAGGGCATGGAAGGAGAGGAAGGTGAAAAACTTTGTCAGGTATTGTGAGTGTGTGGGGCAGTAGAGGTCAAGTGTGAACCGTGTTTAAAAAGTGATCACTAACCTGGCTCGGTAGAAGCAGTCTGTGAAGAGCAAAGAAATGTTTGTTTATAGCATCTTATGAGAAGCACTATATCCCTAGCTTTATGAAGCAGGGGATGATGCTGTGGACAATCTGCTGGATGATAGTACTGCTGGTTCTAAATGATAATATTAAGTGTGTAAGATACAGTGAGTGGATGAGTATCATTTTGTAATATACATTGTTTATCATAAACCTAATAACTCCATAAAAGTAGGGAATGAGGAAGTGGTGATTAATTGTTTTTATCTACGTTGAATGAAAAATGAATTTTATGTAAAATACAAGTTAATGTTCCTCTTCATTACATTTCATTTATTTCATTTCATTACATTTCTTGCATTCCCAAACATATTTTTAAACTAAATGAAGCTATTTCAGTTATTTCATTATTCAGCTTTGTTGATACTCTAATATGTACAGTAAAGTAACAACTTTTTTTTTTTTTTAATTTTGAGTTTTTATTTTATATTTTGTTCATTCCTTATCTCTGTCAGCATCACTCTTGCCGAAGCACGAGTGTACTAGTTCAAGGTGTTGACTCAAGCAAAGGCTTTTATATGTTGGATCCAGATAACAACTTGCCAAGAACACAAGAGCGTTTGAAGCCTGTGTTTGACGAGACTGGCTGGCCAGGCATTACTGCTCGCAGACCGACTCATGAAGAGTTCAGGGAAGCCATCACTAACCAAGATTTAGTGGTGTGAGTACTTGTCGATCCAAGGTTATTATTTAATGCCTGTACTTGTAATGCATGCATATCTGTGGACACATGATTTCAGTATTAGTATTTTCCCATTCACATTTACATGTTTCAACATGGACTGTATACATCAATATAAACATGTAATGTTCATATCATTCCTTGCACAAATGAGTCGGTTATGAAAACAAAGTTTGCCTACTGATTTTGTTTGATTAACCCCCCTCAACTGCTCGGCTTCCAAATGACACAACTTCCCCCTGTGCACAGGAAATAAATTCTCTGGAAAAAATTCTTTGTTTTTTGAAAGTGTCAAAAACCCTTCCCTGAGTATGGATATGTTAACAGAAAGTCGAAATTGTACTTACTTTGGCTGCTATGGGGTCCGTAAGTTGGCGTGTGACTTCACCATTTAGGGCACCCGGGGCAGGATGCACGAGCTGCCACAAATATATTTTTGTTCATTTTTTGCGCACAGTTCCAAATGCATTTTATTTGTTTTTACTTGCCAATCCTATGAATCCTATGTATAATTAACACATACACTGTATTATGGCAGTAGAACATCCGTACTGTCCGAAGACACTGTGTTACGTGCATGACACATGTGTACACATCCGGCACATATTTCCAATATATCATGCTAATTTATGTATACAGTATATACAATCTATTTGCACACTGTACAGTATCACACACTATATATACACCATAAACACACTCGGAACTCCAAGAGTGTGAGCTGCCACACCCAGCCAGCCAGTCCTTCCCCTCTCCTCCAACATCGTACTCGCCATTACCCGAGCCAGTGGCTGAGCGGACAGAACACTGGACGCGTGATCCTGTAGTCCCAGGTTCGATCCTGGGCGCCGGCGAGAAACAATGGGCGGAGTTTCTTTCACGCTGATGCCCCTGTTACCTAGCAGTAAATAAGTACCTGAGAGTTGGTCGGCTATCACGGGCTGCTTCCTGGGCGTGGAGGCCTGGTCGAGGACCTGGCCGCAGGGACACTAAGCCCCGAAATCATCTTAAGATAATCTCAAGATAACCTCCTCCCACCTTACTGTACTGTTATTGTTTTTATTACACTATTTACATATGTTATGTATACCTATCTACATGTTTTATTCCAGAACTATATTCCAGAACACCAGAACTATGAAAGTAAGCTGGTATTGTGTCCAAACAGTACAGTGGCCACCATACACTGCATGAGAAATCACAGCAGACAGCAGATGACGCTACAATTATGACGTCACCTTCCTCACCAAAATAGCTGCTCTCAACATACACCTGTTGCCGTTATTACACTATATACACACATTGTATAACCCATGTACATATGTGTTCACCATAGCGAACCACTAAGCTAGTATGGTGAGCAAAACAAGAGTGACTGTCACACACACAGTGAGGCTACCTCGATTACTATGCACAGCGCTAATTATCCAATAATTATCACCACAATCCTGCTATTGTCACAATCCTGGTCACTAATTCCTGTAAATGAATAATTGATCACAAGTTTATTTTGTAAAGGAACCTAGGAAGTCGTTTGAAGATTCCTAGATGGACGAAATAATGCTGTAGTGCTGTGGCTAGTGCTCTGAACATTGTGAACAGCATTGAATCACTGATATTTGAACATTGCACACAGTCAATATCACACTTAGGTTCTTCTGTAATACTATCATGGCTAAATACTACAAGTTTTATATATATATTTATTTATTTATTTATTTTTATTTATTTATTTATTTTTATTTATTTATTTATTTTTATTTATTTATTTTTATTTATTTATTTTTATTTGTTTATTTATTTATTTTTATTTATTTATTTATTTATTTTTATTTATTTTTATTTATTTTTATTTATTTATTTTTATTTATTTATTTATTTATTTTTATTTATTTATTTGTTTATATTTATATTTTGACATTAATTATTAGGCGATGCTGTGGTCTCAAGCTGAACAGCAGTGCTGTGAGCTCATGCTGTGTGCGCCGGGCTTGGTTGCTCACTCAGTACTGAGGCTCTCACACCTGGGAATGTGGCCCACGATTTTTTGTAAGGATGGTGTCTGTTCACAAGGGCCCTGTAGAAGCTGATGTGAACACCATGTAGCCGTGGGGGTTTTGAATGGAACGTGAAAAATACAAATACCCGGAGGCGCTTTGCGCAAACCAGACGAGGGCCTGCAGGTGCGTTGCGCAGTTTAAGGGTTAAGGAGGTTATGCAGAAGTAAACATGTGTTTTGCTTGGTTTTACCGTGCTCCTTAATTCTTGGATCATTAATGTGCGATCACACATGTAACTCACCCCCAGCATTCCCACCCTCCTCCTGTCTTTCATATATTATAAATGACATAATCAACAGGTATTCTGGTCATGGTTCTGGCAGTCAGTATCTCCCAGGTGAGCTGGTTGAAGGACTTGAGTGTAAGGCATTGGTCCTCCTCTATGGTTGTGCTTCTGTACGTCTAGCACCACGAGGACGAATTCCAGACCCTTGGGGAGTTGTGCTCAACTACTTAATAGCTTATAGGTATGTTAAAATTTAAGAACACATTAATCATGCAGTACACTAGTTTATATTTATTTATCACTTGCATCTATATCTGGTTTTCATTATCCTTTCAGTTATAAACTTTTTACATTTTGAAACCCAGTGTAGCAGTTTGACCACAGAAGAGAAATTAATATCTTAATTAATTGCTTAATTGTTTGTGTATTTGAAATTAACCCCCCTTACATTCTGAGGTTTGCTGGCACACCACCACTGAAGTGAACCAGAGTTCACTGGCCGGCAGATCTCTGCACATTAATGTTTATAATCATTTTATGTGTGTTCAGTTTATTGTCGGATATTATTTTCTGGGAGGGTACCCTCAGTAGCTCTTCAAGCTATAGCACTGGGGCTGCAAGTGCTATAGCTTGAGGAAGGGGAGGGGGGGAAGGTTGAGATGACGATGTTGGAACAGACCAATTTTCCTATATACCGGGGACAGTTCCAGAAATTTAGATTTTTCATAGGTGGTCCATTGCTGCTCTATGACTCTTTTGTATTTGGTGCCTAAGCTGGATGGTTTGTTGGTCCATACAGATTGGATCCTCATATTTCACATCTCAGTATGAACTGGATGCCTTCTCTGCTTCCCTACAGGTACATTTCCATCTCTCAGTTTGCAGTCTGTATATACTTCCCTTTGCACAGGCTTCCATCATTTCTTCTTTTTCCAACTCTGGCTTGGGCAGAATTACTATGGTTCCTGCTGTGTGGCTGATTTCATGCAGCCAGAATGTTTTTGTGTATAGGTTGTCTTTCACTTTGTAACTGCATTATGAGGTCCCAGCTTCCTCTTGGCTGGCAGGTAACCCCGTTGTTTTTCTTTGACTAGTAACTTTACTGGAAGGGAGGGTTGCCCCTTTTTTCAAGTTTTCTCAGAAAATTCTCTTTTTGTAGCAGTCTGTTGTACCCTGTTAGCACCTGCCTTTTTCCATAATATCAGAGCTTTGCAGCTCCATACCAAAGTGCCCAAGTTGCTTTTGGCTTTGAACCAGTTTGTGGAAGTACTCCATATCTGTGCATTACATGAGGTTATCTCAATTAGAAGCAGACTCATCATCTTCAGCCTTGAGGTCTGCTGATGCAACTGCAGTTGTTGTTTCCATGCTATTCACTCTACTACTGCAGGTTATGGTGATGTTTCTATGATGTTCGCTATGTCTGCCAGCTGGGTGTTTTCAATTTTTGTTCACGAATCTGTTTGGTCACTTGCCTTTATGTTCACTACTCTCTCTCCACTCGTTTTCCCAGAAGAGGAGGTGGTTTCATGGGTTTGGGCAGTGGTGGGTATGACTTTTTCTGCCACTCAGAATTGTTTTGGCTGCTTAACCAGTTCTGTTTTCTCTGCGGTTCAATGTTCTTGTTCCTTGGCTTCCTGTTTAAGGTATTGTTTGTGGTGCGGTTGTCTTGGTTTTTCCCGTTTCGCCCTTTCACCTTTACGGCTGCAATGTAGGGGCATTATCATGGCTTGCAATTCTTATTTGTCTTATACTGGTGCGTAAATACAGTGTTAGGATACATGAGAAGGTTAGTGGGAGAAGTGAACCCAGCATAAATAGTGCTCCCATCTTACAGCGTTGAAGTCTTGCGGGAGATTGTATGATTGGCTGTTAAGACTATTAAAGGGTTAACAATGGTAGACACTTGTTGATGTCTATGGTTTTTTTTTTTTTTTTTTTTTTGGAGGGGCTTGAGAATAGATCCTCCTGAATTTGTTGTTTTGGCTGGATTTATCATTGTCTAGTGTCTGTCAAGCACCTAATATAATATACTGTGGCAAAAGTACTGTACATTCTTGCCCGACTGTCAGTTGATCTGATTAACGCGTGGCAGATCAGTATACCTCTGGGAGTGGCAGAATATCTTATCAAGGGGCTTTTCACATACTTAAAGTATATTTTCTGTAATGAAATTCCACCACAATGTTTATTTGTTTACACTACATTGACACCCATATTTTCTGTTTTCTCTAGAATATGTCTCTTCCAGGCATTATATAAGTATATGACAATATTTAAGGTTGGATGTACAGTATTACTTTGTGCCAGAAGTGATTTTTAAGTTATGAAGCTGATTGTGCCTCTTATTTTTACAGCCCATGTGTAGTAGGAATGTTGTGGGATGTTACGGACAAAGACACGGATGTCCTCACTCGGGGAATGATTCGAGCATTGCGTGGTGAAGATGGTGAACCAGGTACTCCCTTGGCCACACCTCCCTCGGATATTGCTCTTTTGGTCGCCCGATCGCGTTTCCTTTGCCGCTGGTACCTCACTGCTGCAGCACTCACAGTATACGGTCTGCCACTGCATGTTATTGACAAATCTTGTGAATAACATTTAAGACAGGTATATATCATTTTCGAATGGTACAGTATTATATCTTTGAATCATGTATAACTTGATCAAAACTCAAAGTATGTTGTATTTGTATTCTTTTGAAGGAACAAACATGTATGTCACTTGCTTTGACAATAATCAGCATAGAGAACAACACAGTTGCCATGTCTAATCTTAATACTGTAGTAACTCTGGTTCTTCTGAAAATGTAATGTAAATGTAGTACTGTACTACAGGCATGAATATCTACAATAGATTTCCCTATTTTATAATAATCTTAAGTACAGTATTGTAATTTTTTGGTGATTGGTATATATTTCTTATGTAATTTCCAGGACTCTTGCCTTTAGAAAATGAGTAGGAGCCATGAGGAGGATTCGAACCTATGCTCTGGGTACTCCTATGCAAGTGTCTTAGACCACTACACCACAACATGGTCAAAATAATTGTAACCTGGGATTCTTTTGATCATGTTGGGCATAGTGGTCTAAGGCATGTGCTTGAGAGTACCCAGAGCATTGGTTCAAATCCTCATCACAGGTCCCACTGATTTTGTCATTGATACGTCACGTTAAAGAGATTGTGCACACTTGCCCTATTAACAACTCGGCATGAGTGCCAATAAATCCAAAAGTAAAGTACTGTATTTTGATAAATTAAAGAGAGGAGATACCTTATAATACAGTAGTACCCACACTGGCCCTGGTGGGGTTATTTGGGTACTTTTTATCACCATCTCCACTTTGCTTATAGCACTTGTAGTATATATTGTATTTATTGAAACAATTTCAAATTGTTTAGGTAAATATATAACAATTTAACATATTTAGTGATACAACATGGAGTTATGGAAAATATATTTGTATATGGGTATTAAATGAAATATTAGACTAGAAACTTTTATTGAAGTACAAAATCCATTATAATATAGAGAATAACGTGCTCTTGTGGTGGTGCTTGTACTGCTGGGATATGTGGGAGATATAGCTATAGCTATCTTTCTGTATACTATCTTTATATATTTCACTGAGTACAGAAGACTTAGCACATCATTGGTTTGGAAAACATGGATTTATTGAGTTGCCTTTCATATTTATTATTTTAAACTGCATTAGATTATATATATCTTATATTTTAGTATGCCACTCACCTAAAATAGCAATGCTTATATACCAAATCATAAGTAGAATCATTGTATATAATGTAAAATATATTAAAGAATGACACCTTAGGAAAAAAATATATTTTATACAAGATTATTTAACAATATAGTTGTTCAGCTATTGTCTTTTCTTTTTATTGTCCATGGATTAAATACATAAATTTAGTAGGCATCCATCAGTCCCATGGGGTTATAGAGTTGTGCCCTGGGTGTCTAGTTGGATGCAACACCTGCTGTGGCTGTGAAGGCCAACCCGAGAATGACAGTCCAGATCGCATCGAGCGCAGATAAACGCCGAAGCGGAAAAAGTCAACAGGCTGACAGTGGTCGAGACCACCTCTGAAGTCTGTTATGTTGGCTGGTGTTGACCAACAATTCAGCCAGGCATATAAGTGTGTGTATGCATGGAACAGGAACAGGTATGCATAGGGATTAAGGTTGAATTTCTCCACACTTACAGTAGTTCTATCTGAGCAACAGGGAAGCGAGCATGGGCAGATAGGAGTCTTGTCACTGTAAGCTTGAAGAGCTTTTACCCTAAACTTTCTTTAAAATTCATCAGTATCAATTTCCTCAGTACTATCACCATCAACCTCTTCATAATCTTTCACAAGCTGAGCCAAATTTTCTTGAGCAATTGTAAGCTCAGATTCTTCTAGACCTGCTCCAACATACCAGTGTACAAATGCACGTCTGCTGTACATTAGATTAAACTTTTGGTTGATGCGGTCCCAGGAATCTTTAAAGGCAGTGGTGTTTGCTAGCATACATACAGCTCTGCTCATTTTGGCTAGGTCTCCACCTGGGAGCACCTTTGGATGTCCACTGTTGATTCCTAATTTGAAACCTGTGGGACACCATTCCACAAACTGAACAGTTTTCTTGAGTTTTATAGCAGATATAGCCCTCTGCACATCATTAGGCGTTACATCTCCACGGTATAGCAAGCAACATGACATGTACTTGCCATTAACTGGATTACATGTTGCCATTTGTGAAGAAGGATCAAAACAAGCTGTGGTCATGTCTGAAACAGATTGTTGCTCTCGATAAGCATTGTCTGCTGGTATGACTGGTGCATAAGTCATCACTGGAAAATGAAGGCGGGGAAGAGGCACCAAGTTTGTATTAAAATCTCGTACATCTACATTGAGGGAACCACCAAATCGGAGAGAGGCAGTAGATGCAGATATAACTTGAGCAACAAGGTGATTCAGATTTGAGAAAGTTGGGCGTTCAATTCCTAATTTATTTACACACATGTTATATGTAGCTTCATTGTCAAATACAAAAGCGCAGTGATCATACTCCATGGTATTTGAAGCGTGGAGAATAGTGTTATAAGGTTCCACTACTGCTGTTGACATCTGTGGTGAAGGAAATGCACAGAATCTCATTAAGCTGGTGCTGGAATATTCTTGGAGCAGCTTCTCCAACAGCAGCGCCATAAACCCAGATCCAGTGCCACCACCGAAGGAATGAGTGCATATGAATCCCTGCCAGAATAAATCGTTATTAATCCATGGAAATATTATCTTCTAAATTTATACTATAAATTGTTCTGGAATTACTAATAAAATTAAATGCTTTGTATCAAATTAATTATCTTTGTGCAGCAAATATAATACAAAATTGTAAAGTGGCAGAATCTGGCACGCCTTAATTTAATGTCTGATTTGACTTTTTTCTTGTTTTGTAAGTCAGGAAATGATAAGTAATATACTCTACTATACTCAGTTATTAATGCTATTAATATAATATATATGTAAGTGAGAATAAATTAGATTTTTAAGATATATTTTGAGCATGATAAATATGTTCTATTCTGTATTGGAAAACAAAAGGGAGAAGCAATGTTATGGAATGACTTGCATTAAGACGAAGAAAACAAAATGTATACCTGTAATTGTGAATATTTCTCCAAATGTTATGCATACTGGTGGTAAAATATTTACCTCCACCATCAAGAAATGGGAAGAGCTAGTTACAGTATATTCGGACATAAATATCCAATTACTGTATGTATTTAAGGTGCAGTATTTGCAATATATATATCTATATAATGAGAAAAAGACAAACATTTCAGGTTTTTGATGCTTGTCTTACACCATTGAAAAGTTTGCTAAATTTTGAAGCAAAACATACACATTATTTGTTTTTGGATTAGGCTAGTAACATGATACTGCATATGCCAGCATAGCCTTGTGCTCCACCTGTCAACACCTCAAAAGCCTCTAGGGAAAAACAGTTGATGGCTCTTTGGGCCTATGAGACTAGTGGTGTACTCTTGTCTCAATTAGGAGTTTGAACTAGGAGTGTATTTTCTGTGTTTGCTCAGGTCTGAAGGTTGGCAGAGTTTTTTCCACCTGCTCTTTCCGGGTACACCAAAGACAGCAGCGAGAAGAACTCTGAGCCTTATGCACACTTGGGTTAGGATGCCTAGGGGATTTTGAGTGTTGGATGTGTTTAGCCATCCTCCCAACCAATGTCTGAGACCTACTTGGCCATCTACTCCTCTATTCAACATCATTTGCAACTTGTTGAACAAAGGTGTGCTGATAGAAGATGATGCTACAGAAGTGTTGATAGATAAAGCTACTACACATAATATATGGAGATGCAATATAAATGATCGTATGCAAAACTTCAAAAGATAATCTTAAACTAGATGCTATAAGACTGTGAGGGATTTTTATTGTTTTTTATTTATATATACACAAGAGTTCTTACATTCTTGTAAAGCCACTAGCACACATAATGTTTTGAATATTTCCTTAATCTAAATTTTCCCTGGAATACTACCTGCCAAATCGTTTAACAACCAGATACCCATTCACTGCTGGGTGAATAGAGGCATACAGTTAAGGATTGGCACCTAGTCAACCCTACCCAGGTCAGGATATGAACCCAGGCCAAATCTGCAAAACGCAGGGTGAGTGACTTACCACTGCATCATGGGGACTGCTGTTGAAAACCCCGTCCCCCCCACAGGATGCGGATTAAAAATCTAAAGGATGGCCTAAGCAAAGAGATATGTGAAAGAGAGAGAGAGAGAGAGAGAGAGGCTTTATATGAAGAATCATGGCTTATGCCAAGATCTGGATGTATTGTGGTTTTACTGCTATGAAGGTTAAAAACGTGTGAATGCTAAACGATATAGTTCCCAGCACTTTGCCTTCATACTAACAATGTATCATGCCAACTTATATGAAGGCTATATACAGACATGCTGATAATAACTACAGTATGGCTAAATATGCCAAAGGTAAAATTTTATACACCAGGACAATAAAATACTTAGTACTACAACTGTTGTAAAATTAGTCGCATCAAGACAACGCCATACCTGCAGACCAGAGCAGGCTTCAACCTGCCTCCTGATGCGCTCCATTACAGTATGCACAACTTCCCGGCCAATGGTGTAGCGACCTCTTGCAAAATTGTTAGCAGCATCCTCCTTGTGGGTAATCAGATTTGCTGGATGAAATAAATCCTGGTGTGTTCCACGTCGAATCTCATCTTTCAAGATAATGGGAACAATGTAAGTAAATCACTTATATGGTAAATGAGGGGAGGTTACCTAGCTATGCTGAGGTCTCTCCCATTCTTCCTACCCTCTCTCATCTCTTTCCTTATCCCCCCCCCTCTCCCCCCAAACTTTCTTCCCAATATCTCCCCTCTCACCCTCTCCAACATTCTTTCCCCTGTTCTTCTCCAACATCCCCCCTCTCTCATCTCTCCCTCCACTATTCCTGTCTCTCCATCCTTCCCCCTCTCTTCAAACAGCATCCCCCTTCCATCTTCTCCTTACCACTCCTCAAACATCCACCCCTTCGCTCTCCTCTCTCCTCTTTCAGAAAATGTAATACTGTACTAAATTCAATTTTTTTTTATTAACACATTTGGGTACATCTGCATTTATGCAGCCACCTATAGACTATATGAAGGGGGAGTACAGTCACATTAACACTTTCGCGCTATCTGGACGCGCCGGCGCGTTCGGTTTCGTCTAACGTAAACGCATAGTGGACATAAAGTTATGTCAACTTTTAAAATATTTGTATAAAATTCAATTTTTATCCGATTTACTTTGGGTTTGTTTCAAACTGCGCGCCATGAGGCTCTCTTTCTCACCACTAGGCTTCATGGTACAATAAGTTCATGAAAGGTGTGGATAACTTCGATCAAATGGTATTTTGTCCCAAACGGGTTGCAGGTGGGTGACTTTAGCCGTTTATACTGGTAATTCTTCCCCTATATCATGTATTATATGCATATGTCTGTTTAGGGAATTTTATTCCGATCAATATACAACCAAAAATAACTGTGTGCAACAAGTATAAACTTGACAAACATAACAAAAGTAAAAATATTTCGTGTGTGTTTGACGCTCACCGATATGTTCCAGCGTTGTTTTATATTTGTCGTTATTCTAACTTACGCTTTGTTGATATTTTTTACCTATGGGCACATAGAACATTCTATTGCGAACACATTGACATAAAAATGAATGACGTACATAAAAAATTAATGTCATGAGAGTGAAATAAGTATAAACTTTCAAAGCGCCGTGCGTCGTCCCGTCACCGATACCGGAAAACAATTTCACCACTTCCCACACTCTTGCGGGCGGGCTGCATCATTATTCTACGCTTATATTCATATCACCGTGTTGGGAATTTCATTGCGAGTCTATTGATACCAAAATTAACGCTGTAGAACAAGTGTGGAGGTGATTACAATCCCAAGAGTAAAAACATTTTGTTGCTGATGGGCGCTCACGGCGAGTCATCTACATAGTTATTTATTTGGTGCTGGTATCCCTATATGTTTCGTGACTTATTTTACTGATGTTCTTCTAGAGAATTTTATTGCGAACACGTTGGTACCAAAATTAAATACGTAGCATGAGAACTAAGGTCAGAAGAGTAAAAAGAGTATACACATTTTTGTTTTTACGCTTAAGCGATAAAAACGCAGCGCGCACATTCAGTTGGCTGAGTGACCTTTGCGGAGAGCGCGAAAGTGTTAAGTTTTATGAGTGACAAATCTAGGGACTCTCCCAGCCACATTTCACTGTTTAGTTGGGGATGGTGATTTAGGCTGTTTAGTTGGATGACATCGGCTGTCATCACCATTCACTCTGCAAAGTGGGATGAGGCTAGCCATAAGCATCTAACCTCCAACCTTGTTTAGTTTAACTATATTCTTTAACAATAATACTTTCATAAAAGTTCTGTCAATCTTCCATTTTCTCCTTATTGAGTCCATGCTGCCTTCCCTGTTTATAATGCTGACATCTCCCTTCTCCACCTTCTGCCCCCCTCCCTATCTTATGGGTCCTCTCTCTTCTTTGCCTTAAATCTCGGGATTTGCCCAGATGGGAATTGCCTATCTCTGCTTCATATGTGAAAGTTGGGGAAGGCTAGTGTCAAGGGCCTTGGACAGACAGACAGACATTCTCACTAATAGATATAGATTGTAATGCATCTATACCACCAGCAAGGGTAAGTTTTACCTGCTCACAGTGTAGAGACCAGTGTAAGGATCAGAAATATTTATGTAATTCCACCCACAAAAGCACAAGTGCTTTTTCACTTGTGAGGACATAGCTCGCTATTTTCAGCCAGACAGTGGTCTATTTTTATTCACCTGCCTTTCTGGGACCTTCCCCGGTCGATGGCAAATATGACATACTTTACATGTAAAGTGCTCATAGGCCATTGCTCCCTTCACTTCTTTGAGGGGGGCCAAGTTCTGGCTTGTGGTCCCCGGTAGGCTTATAAGGAACTCTGCGACTAACGACACTCAAGTAGTATGGCTCCTGATCAGTAAGGTAGCGTCAGGGAGCCTCTGGGGCTCATCCAGAAACTGGCATTTCATTACATTCAATGCTGGTTTTCGCATTGATAATTAACATCAAAACAAGGTACTGAAGATAGACCCAGAGAATGTTATACTCCGCCCACTGCAAGTATGGCTGATGAAAGCTTTCAACTCACCTACAACAGAGGGCTCCAAGTCGATGAAGATGGACCTGGGCACCATTTTTCCATCACTTGTTTCAGAAAAGAAAGGATCCAAGGATGATTCCTCATTACTGTTGAGAGAGATATTTGCCTGAAGTTTAGTGACAGGACACATGAAAATATTAGATGTTTGTATGTTTGTAAAACTATTTAAAAACAAATTTTAAGTGTTATAGGCACATTGAGTTTACCTGGTGTGGTTAGAATGCAATACCAAGCAAGATTATATCAAGGATGCAAAATTCCAAACTTGGAAAGAATTCATGAGAGCCTAATAATGTATTGAAATCTTAAAAAATTTTGAATCAAATACTGTAAATGGTTCAGAGCAATCACTATAATGTAGTACTTGACTGTATTTTATTATAACTAAAGTGAGGCTTTAAAGCCATATGAAACAAAGTTACATATTCTGTAGTAAAACTAAATTTTTTATGATCTGGCAAAGAGGGAGATATTTAAATGATCTCTTTCTGATCTAATCAGGTATGATAAAATGATGTCACAGACTGGCCCAGTGTTTGTCAACATACCATTCAACATCTCTGCAACTGAATGAATTGACAGCAAAAGTGAACATTTATAGATTCCAGAGTTATATGCTGTCTAACAAACTCCAGTGATATAATTTAAGAAAATGTATGTATTCATATTGCCTCTAACACCATCAGCTGAGGCAGATGATAATCTACACCATAGACACCTTATTAAGCACGGAAGAGATAAATAAATACTATCTATTTATCTATCTAATACTAAATAGATAGTATTTAATGACTATTAATAAAATCTCACTTCACACGAAAGGGCCTCAGAGCTTTATTTTTATATCTTACCTATCAACATTTCTTAAAGCAAGGTTGTGTGTGTTTTATGAGATAAAACAAATAGAGTTGATGGAATCTCTTCTCACATGAAATTATAGCTCACCTGCCTTGGAATAATCTCTGTATAATGTTTAGTAATGGGAAATTCAAACCACTTGGAAAATTGTATCGTAAGAAATACTCAAAACTGAGAAAAGTATTAGGAAACATTAGGAAAAGTATTTTTGAAACATATTGCACTTTAAATTAAATAATTTTTTGTTATCAAATATGACTTTCACAGCGAGAAATATTACACGGAACTTACTGGTATTTGTTTGAAATTGTTTACAAAGTGTTGGTCAAAATATGTAATTTATACCCTTAACAGGTTTAGAAATATCAGTAGTGTTTTAACTATCATCATATGACATCAGTATCGTTTCCCACTTTCATGGCTTGAGGAAAACTCGGCAGAGAGGAAATAGGACAACTATACAGTACAGTACAGTATAGCAAAAGAAGATTAACAATATTTAAAAACATCTATTTACCCAGTCTTGCATACTACAAAGGATCATGTGAACTTTGCACTGTCACATGATCCAGCAAACCATCAACAGCAGCACCCAACTACTTTATACAATTGGGTGTAGAGTTCTTCCTGTGAATCATCATTTGAAGTACAATACTCTATATCAGACAGTCCCTATTTAGTACCCTGGTTTCATCTAACATTTGACACTACAGTATTTCTCATGTATTTTTCACACTAAATCCTGGTTTCCTCTCACACATACGCTCATCATGTCTACCCATCTTTCTTACTTTTCTCTCCTACTCTCACATTCACTTGCGTGCAATTTTACCAAATTCATTCGAGCTATCTCAATAAACTTTTTCAATTTTGTATGATTTACCAGCTGTTGCATTCCATAAAATGTAATATTTTAACAACTAATTATTTATCCTCTTTTACACTACAAATGTATATCATGTTATCCATTTATATTGCTCTAATTTTTTTTTCATTCTCATGTCATATGAGTATAAGAGCAGGCACTGCCACTCCTTCAATGCGACTCTCTTGCCACATCTCTTACAACTTTATTCTTCCAAATCAAACCTTTCATGGGACCAAAATAATACTTTTTTCTCATGACTTCCTCTTCTCCTTTCACAAATTCCCCTTTACTTTATATAGCTTCCTGTAACACTTCAATCACCTGAGTCGTGGCAGGCACACAAAAATCTATAAGAAGTCAATTGACACTTGTACCCTTATGGTCTAGACTCTACATGAATGAGGTGTTGACATTCACAATACCTATAGTGTGAATTGCAGTTCCATGTAGCTATGAGATAAAGCAAATGCACCATACTCACACAGTTGGGTAGGGTACACCATCTGGGAAGATACCATGTTCGAGGCAAAACAGTTCCCAGCATACACGCCCAAGTTGTACACCGGCTTGGCCCACGTGGAGAGAGACCACCTGTCGCCCGCCGCCCTGTAACATATTCGTGTTATAATATAAAATACCTTTCTCACTACTCGCTGCACAAGTGCTGAACGTTACACATTTTCAGTGAGCAACCCAGGTGCTAAGCGTAATAAATGCAAGGTCTGATACAAGCTATTAGAAGCTGGCTTGATAGCACAATGCATAGATGCTTGAAAGATGCCCAATTAGCACAATTGCTGAGATGCACCTGTACACTTGCTGGTGCCTGCCACTGTCACAGAAGTGTTTTGGAGTAGATGTGCAATTTGAAGGTGAACTTAAAGCCAAGGTTTAGTTTGCTAGGAAAAAAAAGAATACTGTACCTGTTTATCTTGAGAATAAGGGCTCTCATACAGGCCTGTTCAAAATGTCTAGAAATAACATTTACTTTTATTTATTTTTGTTTAGTTTAAAAAGGTTCATAAATTTCCATAAAAAAAAATCAACAAAACTAAAATAAGTTAAACTATAATAAAATAAAAAACATACACTTTAATTGTATTTTTTTTTCTAGAAATTAAAACTGTATATGTAAATATTACTTTAATACCTATTGTGCTTCAAAATATTTTGATGCAGTAATATTGATATTTAGTCTACAGGAAAGTATCATGTGGACTGATATCTGATTGCCTCTTATTCATATATAATAAGTGTTGAATGACGATAATAGAATTATATGAAAAATTAAATACAGTGTACTGTTAAACACCAAAGATCCATCAAGAGTTGCATTACTTTTAAGGCCAGAGGCAAAAGCACTGGATGTGAGTCCTAGATAAATATAATGTGCTGTGGAATGAAGATGAAGAGCCAACTTCAGTTATGAAAAATAGTTTATCTAGCCGCAAAATTCATGCTCAAATACTGATGTTGAACAATATATTAATAAAAGATAAACATGCCATTATTCTTTATTAAAATTCTAAGATTACTGCTCAGTTCTGTGTGTTAGTCATTTAAATAAATAGCAAACATGAGAGGTCCTGAGACACTTTATTTAGAACAGTTTCCTACTTGGCTTTGATCCAATCTGCTACAAGCTGATTCTGATTCCTTTGAAATTACTGTACCATGTCCTAATGAAGTTTATGATATTCCCTCCATTACTATTCACCTCCACGACCCATGATAATGTATTGTATAGTACTCATATACTACGTCACTTAGATGTGTATTCACAGCTGTGGTTTGAGCCACTTAATCACTTAACATGCAGCCATTATCTGGCCTCACGCAACTACTATACTCTATTTCAAATCCTGGAACTCCACTCCTGCGTGTGATGCTTCTATGGTAATGATGACCTGAAGGAAGTTACTGAAGCATAGGTTAAGGGTCAATTTGCACATTTTTATATAGAGGACAGGTGACAAAAAGTACAGTACAGAACTGAAGACTATACTGAAAATATTATTATAATTATGGATTTTCATTATACTGTATTGCATAACCCATTTACAAAATGACCACCCATTAAGTAACTACAGTATTTTAGAAAATTGTGTATAACAGTATTTTTCAAATGTACTGATTTAAGTATGTCAGGCATGTTTTGAACTGATCAAATTCTATTAAATGCTGTGAAAAGTTTTTATACTACAAATTGTGCATGCGCTCTACTCACCTAAATGTGCTTACCTATTACCTATCAGTGACTAGGGGAGTGTGAGATCTAGCTCTTTATGGCCTGCCTCCTAGCCATTTATACCAGGACTGCCTCCAGATTTCCATATTTGTTCTTAAAGTTGTGAATGGAGTTGGCTTCAACAACCTCTTCCTTCAATACAACCTTCTTGTCAACCACCTGTACAGGGTACAAGAATGTCCTGTCATCTCTACTCAATTGTGTGCCCAGCTTCCACTTTTGTTCCTTTGTCCTGCCTTCTTTAAATCTAAGTGGGCTTCCTTTTTCCACATTGTCACTTTCCCCAGGATCTTGTATGTAGATATCATATTCCCTGTTTCTTCTCTCTCCTAAGGCTGTAAGTGAGTTTCCTCAACATGTCTTCATATCTGATCCCTCTCAATTCCAGTACTTATCTACTTGCATGCCTCTGAACTTAGATTTTGTCTATGTAAAGTGTGGGTTCCATGCTGGTGCTGCAAACTCTAATAATGGTCTCACAAAGGCAGTGTACATGAACTTGTAAGCCTCCTGTTAGATTCTTGAATGATGTTCTTATGTTTGCTAACTTCCTATATGCTGCTGCTATTATCCTGTTCACTTGAGCTTCTCTTGTTAGTGTTGGAATTATATTCACTCCCAGGTCTTTTTCTCTTATTGTTTCCTATACTGTAGTTACCTTTCCCTTACGGTGCAGTTACCTACAGGTCTCCTCTCTCCCTTACCCCTATTTTCATTATCTTACACATTTGGATTGTATTTCAGCTGCCCACTCCTGAAGTTTAGCAAGGTTGCTTCCCTGTTTCAGCACCCTACAGTGCTTTTCATTTCTTATTTTCCTCAATAGCTTCGCATCGAGTAAACACTGACATGTACGAGCTCACTCCCTTTGGGTTGGTCGGTAGAGCGACAGATTCACTCCATGCAGATCAGCGTTCAATCCCCGACTGTCCAAGTGGTTTGGCACCATTCCTTTCCCCCGTCCCATCCCAAATCTTCATCCTAACCCCTTCCAAGTGCTATATAGATGTAATAGTTTGGTGCTTTCTCCTAATAGTTCCCTCCCTCCCCTTCCTTTTGGTACGTCATTTACATATATTAGAAAGGGCAATGATTATGACCCTTTGTTTACTGGCCTTCAGGAAAACGAGAATAGAGAACAGGGGTATCTACATCATGAGAGGAAAGCAACTGCTGGAATTGGAAAGAGAGAGAGATTTGTTAATGGATATAATTTCAACACTAACACCAAGGGTACACATAAGCAGTGCAACATTGATGGTATAAAGAATGCTGGCAAGCTTTAAAACATCGTTTAAAACCTAAATCAGGAATTTCAAAGCAATCTGCACAACCTTTGTTAGACTAATACTGGAATATGCAGCACCAGCATGAATCCACACCTTGTGAATCATAAAACCAAAATTTAAAAACATAAGAAGTTTGCAACAAGAGAGGAATAAACAAGGTGGACAAGAACAGCCTCTTAAAAGTTGAGAAGAGGGATGAGAGGACATAAGTGGAAGGTGCAAATGCAAATGAGTCAAAGAAATGTAAGGAAATACTTGTAATCTATGTGGGTGGCCAACAAGTAAAATGTACGGAAAGAAGAAGTGAAACCCACCTCCATCCACAACTTTAAGTCCAAATTCGACAAAGAATTTGAATATCAAAATATTTAAATTGTATCGCAAGAGCTAGACCTCACTTCCTCAGAGTCACTGATAAGTAAGTACTTTTATCATACCTAATATATAGTCATGCTGGTTGGTTACCTCCAGGAACTCTTTTTTCCTCAAAGTTTCAATACTGATGTACCAGTAGGATGTCTTCTACCCTCCCCCCTGCTTATCCTTTCCTTCCTTACTACCTAGTATCCTTTTCTGTCACCCATTCTTGAAACTTTACCCCTTTATTTGTAATGCCATCCTCATTTATGTACCAAATTTGTATACTTCTCCTTTCTACTGGGATGCTTAGTTTTAACTGGGGTTAGAATCTCCCTTTGGGACTAGTCCAGAGTGTAAGAGTTAATGGTGTAATGGGTTATTAGTTTCATGTTAATATTGGTGTACGCCAGAACTGTGTGGTGTTCCCTTGATTGTTCAGTATACAGTGGGACCCCATTATTTGGATCCCTGTTTTCCTGACTCTCAAGTTATCCAGAAAAGCATTTATCATGTAATTTAACAAATTAGAGCAGTAGAAATGGAGAGTATGTGAAGCATGTGTGGTATTAGGAAAACTGAGTGAGGAAGGGAAATGTTATAGATAGATATAGAGTGCAAAAGTCAATCCACTGCAAGACTGAGAAGACCACACTAAAATGATTTGGTGTGAAAAACAAATGAATATAGTAACCTAATGAAAGAGTATATTAATAAATTTGATAGTAGGAGGAGAGGGTGGCCGAGAAGGGATGTATGGTTAAGTTGTGCTAGGAAGTGTGGATTGAGTGTGACAACACAGCTTATGGTAATGAGACAAGATTAATTGTAACTAGGATCTCACTGAAACTTAAAATACTGAACAAGTTGGAGGATGTTGATCCAGACAATCACTTCAAAAGGTCAGATGTAACACAAACAAGAAGCAGCGGTTTCCAGCTCAACAATCCGCAATGTAGGACAGAGAACAAGAGTTGCGTTTTCACCCACAAGGTAATAAACTCATGGAACCGCCTACCCGCCGAAGCTGTGTTTTTTTAAAATCTACCTGGAATAGATCATTAAGGCAAATGGGGGGGGGGGGAACCTTCGTTAAACCTTCGTTAAGTGACCCTCAGGTAAATCAGGTAAGCGTTTTGTATAGAGGGGGGTATAGTTGCTTGTACAGTACTGTATATTTCACAAAGGGCATCACAAAACTTGTTCAAAAACACGTGAAAAGAAAGAGAAGAAAACAAAAAAGAACTAGATGAATGATAGCGGTAGTAAAATTAGCTCTAACAATTAAGATTTTTCCTCTGGAAGAAGTATCAGTTCCCCAGGAATCACTTAATTATGAGATACAGTATACAAAAGCACATTAAAACTCAGATACCCAGGAAATCAGATCAGCCAACTATGAAAGAAAAGTTGCTAAAAATATTAAGAATGATCCCAAGTCATTATATGCCTAAATAAGGATGATTGATTGATTAAAAAAAAAATAAGATTAAGCCATCCAGGAGGTGGCACGGGCATGAATAGCCTGTAATATATAGGGAGTATGCCTTTATATATTTATTATATGCCTATATAAGGACGAAAACCAAAAAACACTGAATGAATACTTTGCATCAGTGTTCACACTAGAAAGATTAGACAACATTCTAATACCCCTCACAAACGTTTGAAGATGGAGAAAAGAGTGAATTAAGGAATATTCCCATGAAAAT